CACTTTTCGGGATTCCTTTGCTTGTGCGTGCGCGCTTTGCATATTGTTTCGTAAATTGTACGTTCGGGATCGTCGCGCGGTTACATTTGCTGTCGGTCCCGTTTCTTTTTCCTACGCAACCACAGAATCGTCGGCTTCTCATGTGGGTGGAAAAAGAACAGAAAATGCAGCTGGGATAAAGTGTCGATACAAGTTGTGGAAAAACGGTAAGTGTGAGAAGAGATTATTTCTTTACTGTTTTTCATTACTGCTTGCTTTCATTCTTTGCTATAATCATTGTTATTATTTATTCGCTCGGCTTCTACTGCCCTCTGTCCTACTCCGAAAGAAAAGTAAACGCGAGCACTTGTCACCGCTCTGGAATGTTTGCGTGTGTGCGCCACCTCTTGGTGGCGACTGGTGGGGAGCCTATTGATTACCCACTAAATCAGATCCTCTTAATCAGCTTTGTTTGCTGCCCCCGTCGAAGGGGACATAATCACAGTTGAATCCTTTCTCGGCTGCCGGCAGTAATTAAACACGGAGTTCATCAGCGGAATTTCCCAGCAGAGACGCGCTTCGGGGAGCGTTTCTCGGATTCGAATCGAGTTTGGTCATAGTTTCAGCAGGAGAGAGGTGACATTATTCACTTAGCGCAAGTACTTAGCCTCCACCTCCGAGGGGGGCGGAGGGGCAACTACTATTGTCAACTACTTTGGGGCGCAAACGATTCCAGGGCCGCTTCCTTCCTGGGCGCCGCCCTCGCTGAAAGGATTTCAATGTCAAACCGTGGCTGTTATCCTGCCGTGGGTCCCGACTTGGGACAGATGGTCCATTACATTAGACCCACGGGCGCGTCAAGTTTTCCCGGGGAGGCGGCAGCCAGCGACCACAAAAGCGGCGAAAATGAAAATTCATGAAAGTTTATCCGCCGCCGCACTCCAATGGAGATGTTCGGGCTCCACTTTTGTGGTCAATTAACGGCCGTGCGCCGGCCTCAAGATTGTTTTTGTCGTAATGAATTTAAATGACCCACTGCGGCGGCCCCCATCAAGTGGCACAAAGTGTTTTCCAAATGAGAGGACGAGGCGGAAGGACTGACAGCCGCTGACTAGTCAGCGATGCCCCCAAAACAGCATCCAGGCCGCATTCAGCATTCAGACAGGGCTGTCCCCTGCCTGCCCCAAGAGGCAATGGCTTAGGTCCCCCCGCGAGGAGGGGGTGGGGGACACATTGTGACAGCACCTGTCGCCGAAAAATTTTCAACAATTTAGCTAATGACTTCCTCCATGGAGGGGGATCCGAAGCGGAGCCAGGTCTCTGTGTGGATACCAAATTAATTATATGCCATGCAGAGAAATTAATCAACCAAAACCAGCCACACTTTTCCCCCCGCTGAGCTCAACTGAACTCTATTTAACCCCAAAAACAAGACCAAACAACCGCCCCACCACCACCCCTCGAAAACCGCTCAGGTGTGAGCCAGAGTCCTGCCCAGCTTGCGGCCATTTCATTAATCACACTCAACACTTAGCAGGAGTCTGGGCCAGGACTTGGACTTGTGCTCGAGCTCGGTCTCGGGCCTAGGTTTTTGGGCGTGGAAGTGGGGCAGAAGTTGAGCTCACTTGTGGCCAATGTCAAATGGTTTTGAGGTGCTTCAAGTCCAGTCCCGCCTCCCAATTATTTAACAATAAATAAAAGCTATCCCCTTTATGACATATTAGCTATACAAGACTATCTATCTATCTATCAGTGCGGCTTGGCTAGAGATTGTCGGAGCAGCAGGGATACATGTATTTGACATGAACTCTACACAGATGAACGGAGTGGCGGGGCCACCTAGCGGGGCATTTTGGTATCAATCAGTCGGAAACTTGGTTTTAATACAAGTGGCGCGCCATGATGTCATAGTTGGACCTGCTCTAGCGGTGAGGAAATATATGCAGACATACCAGACATGTAGCTGACGTGTGTGAGAACCGCGGTTCCAACCGAAGAATCCCGAGAACTCACAGCTCACAGGCCAACTGTGGCCATCATCGATCGCTATCTGCAAACTCCATATTCCAAGCTGAAGGGCATCTACAAACAGTGCCTATATTTTAGTTCGTTTGTACGTTTCGTGTTCGTTATAAGTTTGTTTAAAACCACAAGTCCATGTTCCCTGGTCCTCTGCTGCGTTTATCAATGCCTTAAGAATAAATCCCAAAAATGTTGCAAAAATATTATATATTGTACATACATATATCTCATGTAATCTCCCCGCACAGCGTTCACCGACATTCTTTGAGTGAAAAATGCAATTCCTGTAGAACTTCATCTGGGGTTAAAATCATTTGCCCAAAAGTATGCAACAGAAAAATACTCACAAGTGAGACGCAAAAATGAGCATTTTAACTGCTTTGCGCTCTCTCTCTCTCGCTCTCTCCCGCCTTGAGGGTGAGTGCTATAAACCCATAAAGGAGCGTATCCTGTACCAGGCTCCTACGAGTATGTTCGGGGGTCACGCTCTAACCGTTTCGGCGGCGCACACAAAAAGTGCCGCTGCCCGAAAACACCGCCACAAAGAGATCACTTTTTAGTCGCGCGTTAGTCAGGCAACAGGTGTATCGGACGACCCGTGCTGCGATAAGATCGGTAATTTGAGGCGTTACTCCGCCGCCCCCCTCCCCCCTAAATAATAGGGAATCACCGGCCAAAATACACGTTGCGTTTGTTTTATTTTTTTTTGTTTTTCCACATACAAGTGTATAAAAATGTGGGCCAATTTTTAGATGAAATAAAACAAAAACGTTTTACCTGAGCACAGTGTATGTGTGTGAGTGTGAGTGTGTGTGTGTGTGTGTGACACAGTGTATGATAAGATTAGACATTGTGGACGCCAGGTGATAAGAGAAAGAGAGGGGCCCCAATAGAGCAGCATTAAACCAAATAGTTAGTCATTTAATCCAGTAGCAGTGTACTTAGTAATGCACTTGCAACAGGCAGATAACGGTTTGTTCAAGCCATCGAGGGTCGGTCTGCACATCGCGATGGCAAGAGTGACCAGAATGAGAGCTCTAATAGCCGTGCAGCAAATGACAATAATTACAATAAACCATTGACCGCAAATAAATTATGAAAAAAGAAAAACAAGTCTGGAGAGTGTACGCCACAGGAGATATGCCTATATGAGCAGCTTCCGGCTTTGGTGGCATTTAAAAAATGAAATTGGGCCTACGGTCTGCTTTAGATATTTGTTGTTTCAATTGTTGATTGTATTATGATACCTCCTTATTCGTGTGTGTGTGTGTGCGTGTGTGTGTGTGCGTGTGCATGCAGTGGGCCGATCAATCAGCCCCAGTGACTGCCTGCCTGCCTGGCGATTCCGATTCCGATTCCGACACCGAAACCAATGCGCGATCGTCAGCGTGAAGTAAAAAAAAAAAAAACATAAAAACAAAAAAATATTTCACTTTGGGGGCGAATCATCCACAAAACACAAACAATAGAGCCACAGAGTCCCTCGAATATATCGAAAACAAGTACAGATTACGCTTGAAACGATGTTGGGGCACCCCCTCCCCCCTCGTATAGGGGGCTGTTAGCTGGTTGGTGGTTCTCCATGGCTCTGTTATGGTCATTGTCACTTGCCATCGGCCTGGGTCTGGGTCGTTGCACTGCCCACCGACCAGAGGATACCCTTCATGTCTAAGGGGTATCCACAGCCAAGTGACGTCACAGCGAAGGCCATCAAATCATTGCCTTGCATTGCGTTTCAGTTTTGATTTTGATTTCGATTTGATTTTCTGCTGCTGGTCATTAACTTTGCAGACATGCAACTGTTGCAGCTGCAACGTGCGGGCATATCCGGTGTGCCACCAGTGCTGGTCAACACACACACACACACACACACACACACACACACACAGCAATAAATGCCATGCATTTCTAATAAATAGCAAAAGCCACACACCAGCCACTCAATGGGTGATGCCCGGTAGCCGATTTGTGAATACTCTTTGCTTGAGCTCGAAATTATTTCATTGCCACAGTTTTGGGGGGTTTCGGTGGAGCAAAGAGCCCTCTTTTGAGCCCTCTTTTGAGCCCTCTTTTGGGCCTCCTTTTGTGTCTCTTTTCAGACCCTTTTTGAGCCTCCTTGTGAGCCTCTTTAGAGCCTCTGTTGAGCCCCTTTTGGGCCCCATTTTGAGCGCCTTTAGAGCCCCCTTTTGAGCCCCTTTTGAGCGCCTTTAGAGCCCCCTTTTGAGCTCCTTTTGAGTCCCCATTAGAGCCCTCCTTTGAGCCCCCTCTTGATCTACTTTTGAGCCCCTTTAGAGCCCCTTTTGAGCTCCTTTAGAGCCCCTTTAGAGCCCCCTTTGAGCCTCCCTTTTGAGCCCCCTTTTTAGCCCCTTTTGAACACCTTTTTGAGCCCCTTTTTGAGCCCCCTTTTTAGCCCCCTTTTGAGCCCCCTTTTGATCCCCCTTTGGAGTGCTCTCTACGCCGGCTCTGACTCCCCTAATGCCCGTCGTTGTTGTTTTTGTTGTGTGACAGACACCGCGTCGTGAGAGCGCACCTTTTGTGTTACGGATAAAGAGAGGAAGTGACTCGGTGTGTGCGAGCGGGAGAGGCAGAGACAGCGGGTGGAGAGAGAGAGAGAGAGAGAGAGAGAAGCAGCGCTCATTGAAGCTCCGACTGCGACACCTCTGGCGGCTCCGCTGCTCTGCCCGTGACTTCACTCGCGTTCGGTAGCCGGCAGCAGCAACAACAACAACAGGCAGCAGGCGGCAGGCAGCAGGCGGCAGAGAGAATACTCCGTAATTAGTCGAAACATAAATAAACTCCCCATAAAAACGGAACAAAGTCAAACCATGTAAGAGGCAGTGCCCCCCTTTCCCCCCCTCCCCACCGTGTGTGAACTAGAATCGGATTTGTTTTTGTTTTTTGTTGTTGTGAATAATTGCCAAATGGTGCCATTTCAGTGGGCTTTCTGTGAATGCCATCAACGATTGATCTACGAGCGAAGACGAAGACGAAGACCTGCGATGGCCTCCAACAACAACACCAGCAGCAGCAGCCCCACCGACCTGGACAGCCAGGTCAATGTGGAGGATTTGCCCATAACCTTCAAGGTAATGTATGCCGATCCGATGGTTCGTTAAAAGCCCCGAAACGGAACCAACACGAGACGCACACCACAGACACGCATGCGTCACGGTCGGCTGCGGCCTGGGGGCACGGGGGAAACTAACTTTTTGGCCTGGCTGTGGGTTGGAGCTCTGCGCTGACATCCGGCGGCGGATGCAAATGAAGCCCGCAGACGACAGCCGACAGACGACTAACGGCAACGCATGCGCAGCGGAAGCAAATGCCAGACCGATGAGTAACCGCCCCCCCTCTGCTCCCCTCTCATCCGCAGGTCAAGTACATTGGCTCGGAGGTGGCGCGCGGCCTGTGGGGCATCAAGTACACACGCCGGCCGGTCGACCATATGGTGGGCGTGGCCAAGAACCTGCCGCCCAACAAGGTGCTGCCCAACTGCGACCTGACGGTCTCCGTGACGGGCGTCCAGCTGGAGATCATATCGCCGAAGGCGAGCATCAACAACTGGTCCCACCCGATCGACACGATCTCCTACGGCGTACAGGATCTGGTGTACACGCGTGTGTTCGCCATGATCGTCGTCAAGGACGACGCCAGTCCGCATCCGTACGATGTGCACGCCTTCGTCTGCGACAGTCGGGCGATGGCCCGCCGGCTGACCTTCGCCCTGGCAGCGGCCTTCCAGGACTACTCGCGACGCGTCAAGGAGGCGGCCGGCGATGACCAGATCGATACCATAACCCCGGCACGCCAGAAGTTCGCCATCGATCTGCGCACCCCCGAGGAGATACAGGCCGGCGAAATGGACCAGGAAACGGAGGCGTAGTGGGTGGTGGGGCCCACCACCCCTCTCCGTTGGACTCCATTGTGATGTCTTAGTTACTTATTGTCCAGTGTTCACTGTAATTGTAAATTGTACGAGGGGGAGGAGGTACCAGTCGTCCTCCTCGCACACGGCTCGAGTGTTTCCTCATACAGCTAATTGCCCAAAGCTTGCATAAGTGTTGATCCCAACTGTAAACGATTTTCTATAATAAATACACAGTAGATATATGTATGTACGATTATGTACTGATCTTTCCGTATAGGACAGGATTTATTGGTCCCATCTGCCTAGGCCTAGGCCTCCGCCAGATCGACTCCTACCTGCCCAGAGAGACGGCCTTCCATGCGTTTCAAGCCTCTGCTTGGGGGTACATTCGATGTGTGGGTGTGTAACACCCCGAAGGAAGCACTTTCGACCCCACAAACCATATATATTCTTGATCAGCATCGACAGAAGAGTCGTTAAAGCCATGTCTCTCAGTCGGTCTGTCTTTTTTGAGGCCTAGATCTCAGAGACCCTAAGAACAAGAGCCACCAAAGTTTATATACAGACTTCTGTGCTACCTGTGATCCCTACCGCCACCACAAGGGCCACAAATCTGTGGCCTGCACAATTTTGAAACATCCAGAAATACCCAAAACCATATCTTTTGCTGAATTTGGATCAGATCGGATGGGTTTTATGGCGAGATTAAGCAAATAAAAATACTCATTCGCTCTCTCACTCTCTGGCTCGCCCTTTCCCACTCTAAATCGTGCAAATAGAGGGAGGGAGGGAGCTAGCAGCATAGCTGGTAATGGTGTGAGAAGAGAGACAGAGACGGAATACAAAACAGGATCCAGACATTCTAGTAAAAAAAAGTCATATAAGTCATAACATATCTAGAAATGGTCCATCCTCTTCTTCCACTCTCTCTGTCTCTCTCTCTCTCCCTCTCTCTCATTTCGGGCGAAATCGGAACACCGGCTATAAGAGTAAAGCCGCGGCCCTTGCCGCATCAAGCGGGCAGAACGGGCACATTCTATGCACATTTCTACATCTATTCTTATTCACTTATTTCCAGGCACCGTAACGTTTATAATTTTTATACAAAAAATTAAGAAATAAGATTTATTTTTTGAATTTTTTGTTTTAAATTTTGTAAAATTATTGAAAATAATTTAAATGATAAAAATTAAAAAATAATTTTTATATATGTATAAATTTTTATATACAAATTAACACATACAAATTATTATTATTATTAGTAAATTTGTATTATAAAAATGTAAAATTAAAGCTTTGATTTAAATTTTATTATAAAAATAAAATAAAAATTGAATTCAACTATCTTTTGAATAATTTGTAGGTGTTAATTTTTATATAAAAGTAATTGTTTTAATTTTTATCATTTAAATTAATTTTAATAATTAAATAAAACTAAAAAAAAAATTGCGAATAAAAGTTTAATCTGTTTTGAAATTTGCCGTTAAAAAATAACATATGTCTATTTTCCCCACTCTTCTTGGTGGCTTTGTTGTGCCTTAATTTTCAATATTATTTGCGGTCCCTGCTTATTTCATTCAATTTATTCTCATATGAATATTAATTGTTTGTTTATACTTCCCAAGAGCCTCTTGATAAATATTTATGTTCAATGTTCAATGCTTTTAAGGGAATTATTTTTGGTGAACAAATAAATGTTAGGCGTCTCATTTCATTGTTTTTTTGAGCGATCTCTGGCCGCTTTCCAATGGTTTCCAGAGCGAAAAAACAGAGCACCCCGAAGGATCCTGGCCTGAAATTTGTGTGGGACCTCAACAGAAGGAGCTTAAAAGTGGGGGTGAGCGGATGGGATCTAACGGTTAAGTGTGGAGTGTGCCCAGGGGATCCCAAGTCCTCCAGGCTAGACACGGAATCCTCTTTTTGGAGGCTGTTTGCCACCAAACAATGGAATGACTCCCACTATTTCAACGAATGTTTCCTCGAGAACGTCTGTTTCCACTCTGCCTCCTCCCCCTGGAAGGCGTGGCATGAGTTCCAGGCATCATTCAGGATCATGGCCCACCGTGTTAGATCTTTGTATCTAGGAGAAAGCATTGAGGAATGCTGTGAAGGGCTTTGGTTGGTCTCTAAAGGCTGCCCTTCGACTTCCCCCCCAAGACCCAGGATCCTCGAACTCCTGCAGGACCCCAACCAACCAGCTGGAAATTTTGAATTTTTTATAATTTTTATTTGTAGATTTTTGTTTGTGTTTTTGTAATGTGTGTGTGTGTGTGTGTGTGTGTGTTTCTTTGACTCGTTGGAACAACAATTCTATGCTTAAATTTCAACTCTCGTGTAAAACTAGGAAATCAAAGGAATTAAATTAATATAAGGCTTGCCTAAAAGTGCAAATGAGTGGGGAACTAGGACGTGAGAGGGGGGTGGGGAGTGAGGAGGGGGTAGGGGGGAGGTGGGTATTTGGCTAGAAGAGATGCCTAACTGGCATCGGCGCGGAAGAGGAATCTACGCTTGCGGGCATCCATTTTGCCAAGGGACTGGGACTGGGACTCGGCCTGGGACTCGGCCTGGGACTGGGATTCCTTGGCCGTGTCCGTTTCCGCATCCACCTTGCTCACAGTCACGGGCAGCGTTTGCACCTTGGTCATGGCCGGCTCGGCCATCGAGACGCGCTTGTAGATGGGCAGAATCATCTCCTGTTCGGGCTCCGAGGCCTGCTCCTGCTCCGGCTCCAAGGCCTGCTCCGGCTCCGACTCCGAGGCCTTCTCCTGCTCCAAGGCCTCCTCCTGCACGGGTTTCGGGCTCTGAATCAGGGCCAGGGGGGCAGCAGCACCGGGTGTCACGACCAGCTCCATGGGAGCCATCTGTTCTTGGTTCTTGGGCGTCTGGTCGAGGCGCTCCTTGACGAGCTCCACAATATCATCGATGCTGATTGAGGGCATATAAGCGGCAGGGGCTTCCTCGACCGTCTGGGGGCCTGCCTCCTCAGGCGTGGCGGCTGTTGCCTCCTCAGGGACTGCCTCGGCTGCCTGTGGCTGCACCTCCTCCTCCCCCAGGGGAACCACCTGCACGGGTATCTGGTAGTCCATGGGCAGATGGTTGTACTGCATGATTTGTATGATCGGCGAGTCGGTCATGATCTTTGGCGGGGACTTCTGAAGCGCCGACTCCTCCGGCAGCTGCTCCTCGATCGAGGCGTTCTTGTCCACGATTTCGGGCTCCGGCAGCTTGGCCTCTTCGACGGAGACATCGGGCGACTGCTTGGTGTCCAGCTCCTGGCCGAGAGTCTCGGCCATGTCCATGGCGGCTGTGGCCAGCTCAGTCTCGGGTTTCTCTTCGCCTTTCTTCAGCGTATTGAGGAAGTCCGTGATCAGCTGCTCGGCCTCGGCGGCCATCGCTGGATCGACGGGCTTGAAGCCGCCGAGCGACTCCTGGGTCTCCTTGTTGTCGAGCAGGATCTCCTCCACCAGGGGACTGTGCTCGTGCATCTCCGGGGTGGCCGCTATGCTCTCGGGAGCATCGGCTGGCCGCGCTGTCTCGAGGGCTTCAATGCTGCTGAGGATCTCCTCGTCGGTCTCGGTAATGGCGGGCTTGTTGCGGTTTCCCTCTTGGCTCTGCTCAACCTTGGCTGGCACTGCCTTCTCCTCATCGGCGGCTGGAACTTCCTTGTCTTCCTCGGCGGCTGGAACTTCCTTGTCTTCCTCGGCGGCTGGGACTTCCTTGTCTTCCTCGGCGGCTGGGACTTCCTTCTCCTCATCGGCAGAGGGCTTTTCCTTCTCCTCTTCAGCGGCTGGCACTTCCTTCTCTTCCTCGACAGCAGCTGGCTTGATCTCCTCCACCAGCGGCTTCTCCTCCGTATCCTGGGGCCCCTCTCCCTCCAAGCTCTCCACAATGACGGCGGGAATCTCCTCGATGGCCTCAATGGGCTTCACTTCCTCGAGTCCTGTTGCAATTTCCATCTTTATGGGCGCCGCCTTTTCTGGTGTGGCCTCTTCCGGCTCCGCTATGGCCACCGCTGGCTCCGAGGCCTGCACCTCCGGCTCCGGCTCCGGCTCCGGCACTTCTTCTGCGGCCTCCTCGAACATCGTCTGCAGCTGGACCGTGGGCTGGGGCTCGCTGAGCTGCAGTACAGGCGCCTCGGTGACAACCGGCTCGGTCTCTAGGAGCTCCTCCACGGGCCTTGGGGTCGTTGTGGGCTTGTTGAAGATCGCGGGACGCTTGCGAATGCCGGCAAAGAGCTCGTTGCGCACGGGGGCGGCTGCCAGAGGCTGGGGCTTGTGGGGCCGCATGGTGAAGCGCTGCGGCTCGGGGGCCACTGGCACTGGCGGCTTCCTCTGGGGCTGGGACTGGGCCTGGGACTGGAGCTGGGGCTGGGGCTTGCGGCGATTGGGCTTTGGCTTGGGCTTGGCCTGCACCTTGACTGGCCTCGAGGGCTGGGCGACAACGGGCTTGGGTTCTGGCTCCACGGGGGCCGTGGCCGGGGCGGACTGCTCCTCCTCCTCCTCCTCCGGCTCAGCGACCTGCTGCTGCTGCTGCTGCTGCTTGTCCTCCTCCTGGACGGGGGCGCCTCCAAAGTTGCCGTTCAGCTCGTAGTAGCGGGCGCTGTCCTCGCACTCGATGGTCATGTCCTCGCGACGCATGCACGTGAAGGATTCCTGCAAAGACAAACCAAAACAAACCGTAAATCTCCGCTAGCGAGGAACGAGGCATCTGCTGAGGGCCTACTTGACTGAAAATCGTATCCTCCGGGCAGATGAAGCTCCAGCGGAAGGTGTTCTCCCTGCCGTCCGCGTAGGTCACCGGCAGGCACACGTGGAAGATCTGGCAATCGTTCTCCACATCCGCGTAGTAGCCGTAGGTCTTGTTGGCGCACGAAAAGTTGTCCGTGATGTCCGCCCGTATGGATGTGGCATTGCTGGGCAGGGTCAGAGTGCCCAGGGGCGTGGCCGCCGCCGCCGACTCCGTTTCCGTTTCGTTGGGGATTTCCTGGACTTCAGCTGAGGTCGGGGGCGTGGCCGTTGCCGTTGCCGTTGCCGGTGCTTTATCCTCGCGTGCTGTGGTTTTTCTCTTCTGCAGGTGAGGGAGAGGCAGAGAGAGAGAGAGAGAGAGACATAATGATTAGCCATTCCGCTAAGGGGCTACGTGCCTGGCATCGTGACGATCCAGCACGTGACGCTTGGGGCTTGGGGCTTGGAGCCCTAGCTCGATCAAATTTCACTTGTGTTCTAGTTTTTCGTTCCATAAATGAAAATCCAAGCCCTAACCTTTTATGGGGCGGGGGGTGGCGGCCAGCTGCAATCGAATTTACTTTCGAATGGAACGCCACGAATATTATCACATCATATCGTAGCGATTTGTACGAAAACTTTCCCTGTCTATCGATCGCATAGGATATATATGTATATCTATGGATATTTTGAAGAGAGTTCCAGATAGTTCCAGGGCTTACTCATCGCCAGAATCTTTGAGGTGGTGAGGCCTTAGACCAGGTCTTGGGCTAAACGCTTGGCATACCAAATAAGCCAACGGCCAACGGGCAAACCGTTCGAACGGCAGGCGTTGGTATGCAAATGGGCAGAGGTAGAGGCAGAGGCAGAGGCAGGGGCAGAGGCAGGGGCAGAAGCAGAGGCAGAGGCAGAGGCAAGAGGCAGAAGCCAGAGGCAGAGACAGAGGCAGTGGCAGAAGCAGAGGCAGAAGCCAGAGGCAGAGGCAGAGGCGGAGGCCAGAGGCAGAGGCAGAAGCCAGAGGAAGAACTAGAGGCAGAGGCAGAAGCCAGAGACAGAGGAAGAGCCAGGGGCAGAGCCAGGGGCAGAGGCAGAAGCCAGAGGCAGAGGCAGAAGCCAGAGGCAGAAGCCAGAGGCAGAGGCCAGCGTCAGAAGCCAGAGGCAGAAGCCAGAGGCGGAGACAGAGGCAGAAGCCACAGCCAGAGGCAGAAGCCACAGCCATGGCCAGAGCCACAGGCGGGACTGCGTCGGTGTTCCCGTGTCCCATTAAAGTTATGCGGCATATCCGCCGGGAGGCGGCACACACCGCCAACGGAAGTGGGTGTCTGGAGGTCTAGAGGTCTGGAGGTCTGGAAGTCTCGCCCCATCTGTGGGCAACACTCACCTGGTGGCCGGTCAGCGGTCCTGCGCTGCAAGTGGCCGTGAGGCAGAGCACCACACACACGGTCTTCCACACGATCTGCATGATGATTGTTCACTATCTCCAAATACGACACTTTTTAAAGCACTTTTTATCCTCCAGAGGGTTTTTGGTTATTTTTTTCGATATTTTTTTGCGCGTGTGTGTGTGTGGGGGGGGTGGTGGTGTGGGCGGTGTTTAATCCAAAATTGTTATCCAAGCGTAAGCGAAAAAAATACAAAAAAAAAAAGAAAAACCGAAAAGCTTGCACTCGCACTGCCTGCTGCTGTTGATGGAGCTCTTTGCACACCTGTGAGGCACCGTTGGTTGGAAAATACTAACTGCGACCGTCCAAGGCAAGCGACACCCAATTTATATATTCTTCGCTTTTGATTTATTAAGAATGCAAAAAGGCACAGCAGAGAAAACCCCAAAGAGCCAGCACGCACACACAGCCAGAGGTACAGGTGCGTGGCAGGCACACACACACACGCACACACACACGCACGCACACAATGGGCAAATGCTTATTGTGGAGTCGCCTCTTCTGCGCAGACGTGACAGTGCGCGGCTTTCGTGTGTGTGTGGGGCTCTGCTTGTGGCTGTGTGGAACGCATTCGCTGGACTGTGGAACCCAAGACACAGAGCGAAAGGTTGGATGGAAGATGGAAACACAGGCCATGGCTTCGGGTCTCAAAAGCTTTCCTAACTATTCCTTGAGCCCCTTATAGAGATCCTTCCACCTCTGACACGCGCCCTCCCCCCGCCCTGCCCACCGAGAGGCGCTTCAAAGGCCCCTCCTGCTGTGAGAACATCTCCACGACTTTGAAGAGGGCCCCTCTTGTTGCCCCCGCCAAAGACCAGGGCCCTCGCTCATAATTAACCAAGAAATGCAATTATTATTGCTATTATTATTATTTCCGATGGCAATGGCCTCTGCAGCTTTCGCTTTTTGTTTGTGCGCTGTACGTGATTTTGATAGAACAGCCCAAAAGGTAGAGCCCCCAGGCAGAGCCCCCAGGCATAGCCCCCAGGGACCCAATGACGGCACTAAACATGAAATTAGAAATTCATAATTGTCGCGTAATACGCACAGCACTACGTGCCCCGCACTGTGGGGGCTGTGGGGCCGCGAAATGGTAGCAAAACCCATTCTAAATTGCTAATGCGCCTTAAGAGGCTTCGCTTGTTTTGGGCACTGGCCACTGAAGGGTTTTGGGTTGTGTGAAAGTCACTGCCTGATGATATTTCGTTTGTTGCATAATCCTTCTCCACCGCCGTTGCCGCCGCCCAGGGCCAAGCCAATGAACCCCAGAACGAAGCTGTGTGATGCTTCTGCCCGAACCCACTTGGTACACATAAAACAGCAATCTCACGTCGTCGATGGGCAATCTTTCGAGTGTAATCTGAGGGGCCTCCGGCAATGATAGTCACGCCCAGAGGAGGGAGCTTCTCTAATCCCCACAGCAGACAGCAAAGACTTGCCTTTTCGAGGGTTTCTTTATGCCCAAAGATGGAGCCTCCAAAGGTCTTCGAAACAACTGATTTATCTTAAGGTATTGGCATTTATTTGTTGGGAATTGCTTAGCCTCTGGCGCATCGAAATGGCCCTCAACGCGGGAACATTAACATGCCTGGGCATATATTTTCTGCACTTGGCAACAAAGTAGGCTTAAATGCAGTTTTGCCCGCCACGGCGGAGGGAGGACAAGGCTCAGACCCAGACCCAGACCCAGGCCGAATCGTGCAAAGATAAGCGCGTTGACAACAGGGCGACGTGTCGGGGCTCGACGCTGAAATTCTACGGCCGCACAGCAGAATCATGACTGGAATTATGAAAAAAAATCATATTATTAATAGACAGCCGACGGACTGTCTCTGAGCAGGAGCCCGGTCCCGGCCTGGAATCGATGAAAAGAAATGCAGCAGGCAAAAAAAAAAAAAAAAAAAAAAAAAACACATGTAAACTTTCTAAAATGCAAATTGCACTGCAATGGAAAATCATGAGCACTTTTCAAATTAAAAAAAAAAATAAAAAGACACGTGGGCGGTTCACCTGATTTTCTGATGCACACACACACGGCGTATACGTGATGCAGCGCACACACACACGGCCAGCACTTTCTAGCGGCTATTAAATTAATTAAGTTTTCGGTTAGGCACTCATCAAATGCCCAAAATGACAGCTCAATTGACAGCGGCACGTCGTCGCCTGTCACTTAGTGGAGCACCGGCGACGGGGAGGCGGCCCCAAGCTAGGCATTTTTTTTTTCGCAACAAAATTTACTCCGACGCTGACACTTCCTTTTTGGCCAAAAACATTGATATTTTTTTTGGATATTTTACCATTCACGTTGTTCACCGTTATTCGCCCCCCTCCCCCTCCCTGGAGGCGGGGGCGACAAGAATTTCAATTGATTGGCGAGGGTTTGCGGTTCTGCATTTTGGCAACATATCGAGAACAGATCGTATCGGGATGATGCATGGCCGGGGGCCCACACCCCCCCCCCCCCCCACCATGCCCCACGCCCCACGCTCCACGCTCCACGCCCACTTTAAACCAAAGTCCGATTGGCGTTTAGAAAGTGCTGAAAACTAAACTACGAGCATTCTCTGTTTCTCCCCCGATGATCAATTATGTGGCACACGTTTGACGCTCCCCCCTCTAGAGGGGGGAGGGGGGGCGCACCATCAGGGCTCCCACGCATTGGGCCAAGTCTGATTGAATTTTTATGGGCAATTTCATTGATTTTAATTTTGCTAATGATAAGAATTTCTTTGCACGAATTCCCATCAAGCCGTGGGCGGGGGGGGCTATTCGCTTTTCTTAACACGCTGCATGCCCCTGCACGCTGCATGTCAATTGCCGGAGATTTTCCTTCACTTCAAGAGTGGGGCTGGGGGCGGGGGCGGGGGCGGGTGGGCCTCCCTCCATTTAAACAAGGTCAATATCAAACGTGACAGAATGCCAGAGCGAAGGCCAGAGGTTGACTTTCTTTTCGACTCCCCAGCCGCGTGGCCACAATATTTACTATTTATTAGCCTTGTCGAACGTTTGTCAAACACAAAATTTAATTGCTTTTTGCCAAAAAATCGTTTGGCATGCGAGGCGCGATCTGCGCATGCGCAAATTGTTCAGCGACACCCACAAAAAAATAAAGAAAAAAATATCGTTAACAGACGCTTCTATTTTGGGCGCACGTTGGCGCGCCGAGCAGGTGCCGGTGGTGGTGCCCCAGAATTGGGCCAAAGAATTAGAATCGCATGCACGCAGGCGAACGGGTGAAATTTTCTGTTGGAATTTCTGTCTCAGCGGCCAGAATTGACCGCATTGTGATTGCAGAGCCCCAAAAATGGGGCAGGAAATGAAGCACAAAGCAAAACCCTCCAGTGTACAATTATCGAATGTTGTTTTTCTTTAATATGCATCATAGTATAACATACAAATATATATAATAAAACGAGCGGGAACGTTGTACTCTCTATAGCTTATACCCGGCACTCAGACGGCTTGGGATCGGTCGAACCATTGGGAGGATTTCTTCTGATCAGAGTCTCTTCTTTTCTTTTCCTGGAATCTGCCTCGTTTCGTGTGGGTTTTATCCGGCTCTCCTCCGCCAGAGCGTGCACACTGCACGACGACAGGGCCTGTGTAGGCGCGTGGAGGGCCTTGCGTGGCCCTCCCTCCTTTCCTCCCTCCGCCTTTGTGGCTTTCTCGTAGCTCCAAAATGGCGGCTGCACCGGAGGCTTCAATGGGGCTCTCCTTTTGTGGTTTCCCTGAGCACCGGGCACAACATTTTGCATAAATAACTTAAGATTAATGTTCTCCAAAGTAGAAAAAAAAATTATATATATATTTATATAAATAGATATTTAAAATTTAGTTTACGTTTAAGTTTAAGGCATTGCACTAGGGGACGTACTAGGGTTACAACTAAAATTGGTTTACTGGCATTTCCTTTTGTGCTAAAATTAATTTTGAGCTAGGACCTTACGGGGGATTATTTAATAATCAGCATCATAATAAGATATAAAATCAAATAAATACACGCAATAAATTAGACAGCGCTGTGGCGACGGGGCTGGGGGGTTCTGGGCTCCATTGGAGTGCAGGCGTTGGTGGGGGAGGGGGAGGGGAAGATGGATCTACTGCCATTGGGGCTGGTTGCGATAGGCCAGATAGTGGGAGTCCTGGGGCTGCTGCTGGTGATGCTGCTGCGCACGGATCTGGTAGCTGTCCGTGGAGGAGTCGACGTCCTCGATCGAGGGATCCGTTTGCAGGGACCGCTTCCAGTAGCTGCCCTGCTCGCTCCAGTCGTCGCCGTGGTCCTCGTAGTGGTGCTGATGGTGGGCATGTTCAACGTATACAACCTAGTTAGAAAGTATGCAGAACACGGGTGGCGTGAAGTGAGAAACACCAGAGGAAGTACCAAAGAAGCCCAAGAGTGTGTGTGTGTGTGTGTGTTTGAGTGTGTCTGTGTGAGTGTGTGTCTGTATGTGTCTGGCGTGTCTGTGTTTGTCAGTGTCGGAGTTGGCGGGGATTCTTTCGGGGGCGTATCCCAAGTCGTATGGAAACTTGGGATGCTGGGGATGCACGCCCATACTTACACGATGTGGGGGGGGGAACATTTTTATTTTTTGATCGAAAATAAACTCTATGGAGAAACTGTGGGACTGGGTCTTAAACTGTACTGGTATTAGTGGACTCTTATAGTGCTAGAGCTGTACGTTCCGAGAACGTTGTTCGGGGGGAGCTGTCCAACAATTTTTACCACCATATCTGAAACCAAAGAGGTCTGAATTTGTTAGCACAGGTTTTTTGGTTTCGTTTCATTAGGTGTGTTTGTCGATTGGAACGCTGGTGAAATTTTTGCTGTGGAAATTCTGGAGCTGGAAACCAAAGCTGGTCGAGCTGGTTAGAGCGCTCGTGTTGGAGGTGTTGGAGGAAAACGCATTTTACAATCCTTATATACATCTTGTGTGTGTGTGTGTGTGTGGGGGTATAGATAGAGACAGAGTGGACAGAGGACAGGGGAGAGTTAAGAGGAAGACGCGGCCGCCTCAAACCTTTGCCATACAAAACGCCCCTTAAGAACTGAAAGAGTGCAGAGAATCCGTTTAGAACAAGGAACAAATATTGGGTCTCATAACCGTCGTGTGTCCGTTGCAAGCGGGGGGGGTGGTTAAATTACGCCCCCTTATGAGGAAACGCCTCACTCACCTTGGACGGCGGACTGCCACGCTTCACATCGATCCAGAAGCGTGCTATGTTGATCAGTAGGCCGATGAGAGCTATGGCAAAGAACTTGACCTGCAGATGGGCGCCCAGGATCTTCAGGAGCAACTCAATCTTGGCCTTCAGGAAGCTGCCGACCAGCACATACTTGGCCAGAGCCTTCTTCTTCTTCTTCTTCTTGCCACGGGTAACTATATGTTTGTTTTTTTTTGATAGGGGATAGGATCGAAAGAGGATGACTTGTTAGCTTCATTTTGTTGCTCGAATGGAATCAGCACTTACTTGGCTACAGAACGGAACGGAATAACAACAATAAATATCGATATATTTGTCGCTTGGGAGGGTGGTGTTTGTTAGTATGAACTGCAGTGCGCGTCAAGTGCGTTAACGGTAACAATGAACGGCAAGCAAATCAAGGCAATAAATCGAAAATGAACGTAACACAAACTTAACTTAACACCAAACCAAACAAAAAATGGGCAAGATATTTGCAATTAATTCTTGCAAATATTTTACCCAACTTTGACTAAAATGTAATTCAATTATTTCGATTTTTTAAGAAAATGCAGTAATTTTGAATTTTTGAATTTTAAATTCAAATTCAAATGTGGACTGTGACAGTAGCTGAAGACTATGTCACACATGGCAAGATTACTGCCTTACCATTTTTCAATACACTGCTTTGCCAACTGAATTTCTCTGTACTGCTTGGCGTTGCTTGTAGCAGTCACCTCTAAGCTGCAAGCAAAAGCTTTCGCAGCTCATCGCGTAGGTGGCGCCACTAGTAATTTGAATTTGAATTTGAATTTAAAATCAAAGTAAAACTAAATTAAATGGTTTAGAGATCTACTCCTCCACCATCTCTTTTGTTCCACCACCAGCATAGTATAACATAACTCTAAGATATAGAAGGCACTTAAGTTGTGCTTGGAAATCGGTGCGCAAAAGTCATTTAAAACCACACGCAGCAAACAACACACACCTCCGTTACTTCTACCATATCTAATTGGATTCCTGTGCTTGCGCTTGCCACCGCCGCCGAGGAGCTCGTCATTGGCTTCGGTCAGGTCATCGAGGAGGCCCAGTCCCAGGCTCAGATCGCTCTGCTCATGCTCCACCGCCGTCCCGCTGTTCGAGTGCTGTCCCTTCCGCTTGCGTCGGCCCTTGACGCGTTTCTTCTGCTTCCGCTTGTGGGGCTTGGAAACGGAACTGCCGGCATCATCGTGGTCCACACTGCCACCACCGCCATGTCCATGGCCATGGCCATGATCGTGGCCAGAGTCAACTTCGTGGTGTTCTGGGGCGGCCTGCACCACCACCAATGTGGATGGCTGTGTCTGTCCTTGGCTCTGTCCGTGCTGGCCCTTCCTCTTGCGCTTCTTTTTTGTTTTTTTGTCCTTTTTGCGCTTGCCACCGCCGCCGGGTTTCTTCACCGCCCCCGTGGCCGTCGCCTCGCCATCCACCAGCTCTATGAACTCCGCCCCAGTCGAGGCGCTGTCCTCGCTGAAGACCGTGTTCTTGACGTCGTCGCCCTGCAGCTCTGCTGGCTGTACGCTGATCACACCCGAAATGGGTCCATTTTCACTTTCTGGCTCCGTCTCGTCTTCCCCACCCTCGGGCTCCCGCTCCGCAGTGTTGTTTGAGGCATCATCATCATCGTCTTCCTCGTCATCTGCCTCGGCATCGGCGTCGGCGTCGGCGTCTGTTTCTGTGTCTTCGGCATCGTCTTCCTCCTGGTCAGCTTCCTCAGCGGTGTCGCTGGTGTCTGCTGCTGTCTCTGCATCCGCCTCATCGACGTCCTCGTCGTCGCCGTCGCCGTCGTCGTCGTCGTCTTCCCCGCTCTGATCGTTTTCACTATCATCTGGCGTTGCTTTCGAGGTCTGCAAATACTCGTATTCGCGGCCAAGGAAGCTGTTGGCAGCGGGTGGGGCGGAACGGCATTGAAGAAAAACAGGAAGAATTGAAAAACTTGCGCGAAAAGCGGCGAAAACGTGCATTCAACTTGTTTTTTCGCCGCTTTGCTTGGGCTACTTACCCATCCATGGACTCGGCCAGATATTTCTTCATATAATTCGTGCCGATTTCAATTTTCTTCAGTATCGTCGATGGCTTCTCTTTCAGGGGCAGCTCCGAGGCGCTGTAGCCGCGTCTCTCAATCGTTGCATTCATCTGGCGATCGGCCTCGACTGTAGCCAAAAAAAAAACACACACACAGTGAAATGTTTTCAATTTTAATTGCTTTTTCATGGTAAATGTTTTTGGATGGGAATTGCGTGGCGAAAATTCCCCCTGAGGATGTGGAATTATCGCCACCAATGATCGCCAAATTCTGGCCATGACTTGGGTCCTGGAGGGGCTTTTCTTTGCTCCTCACCCCCACCGAAATTTCCTGGGAGGTTAGTGGAAATTTACCCCATTCTTTTTTGTGGGCTGGCATGTGTGGGAAAAAGTCTTTTGTCTTTTGTCTTTTGAAATTTGAAGTTGCAAAGTCGGCTTTCCCAGAGATGGCCAGAGATGGGAATCAACGTACCCTTTAACTTCTGCCACTGGGCATAGAGCTCTCCATCCCAGGAATCCAATATCCTGGCCGACTGCTGGCGGGCACAGGTCCACGGCTCCGATCGTATAGGGCACAGGGCCAGGTCCAGATACGGCGAGACCTCTGCAAAAAGTAGAGACAACATCAAGATTAGTGTAAACACGAGGGCATTCTGCGGAAAAGTGTAAATAGTGGATAAGAGGGGGGCAAATATTTGAATGGAAAAACTGGCAAACGACCCCACCAAACGGAGAGACGAGCAGCGTTGGGATTTGTGGTCCAATTTGGCTTACTGGCTGGTTAACATGGTCTCCGCCGACCAGTAAATATTTGAGTGAAAGTATGGGTGCAAGCCGGCACTGCCACTGCCACTGTCACTGCCACAATCATCTCAACACCTTCTGTGGTGGCCTCCTGGTGGTGCTAACAAGTCCCCCGGACTTGGACCTGGACTTGGGCTTGTTGCTTGTGGCACGGGCCATGTTTCATTTAATGATTATCGACTGGCAAGCCGTGCCGTGCCGTGCCGTACCGTACCCGTGGCATTTCTTTTTAGAGATCAATCAGAGTGGAGATGGAGTGAAAATGTGGCGACTGTCCGCCTTAATGGCTTTTTAATTCAATTCGGAACCCATTTAATTGCGAATAATTGTATTTGTTTTATTGTTATCTCTGGCATACAATTTCCATATTTCCGTCAAGTTTTTTGTGTGAAAATTGAGCAATTATTTTTGCACTGGTTAAATTCATTAGGACCTGGCTCTGGCCGGTGGCATGTATGTAATTGCTGCTGCCACATCGAAGCGGAGTCGTGATGGGTGAAAACAGGCATTAAGTTCGTGTTGCTTTTCCTGGTATTTGTCGTTTGTTTTCATTGCCGCAATCTATGCGGCTTTACTTCACTTTCAATGGCAGACATGGCGCGTTCTTTGACCCAAAGGCCTGGCTAATATTTTCCCCGAAATTCAATGCCAGGTGAAAGCCAGAGGATGCCGCTTGCCGCTTGCTGCCTCTGTTCGTGGTGACATCCTGTTAAAATCGACCCACGCTGCAAAACAAATGCCACAAAAAGGTTGCGGGGGCACGGGGGAAGCTCGAAGAAAGCTGCTGCATCGTGCTACTCCCTGGCGAGCATCTTCGATAGATGTCCAAAATGTTTTCTATGTCTTCTATGTCTCTGGCGGCTCTGGCGGCTCTGGCTTCTCTGGCGTCTCTGGCGTCTTGTGTTTCCACAACAAATGTGCCACATTATTTTGGCAGCTCCTTAGAAGACCATTCCATTTCCTTTGCCATTCGGTTAGTTGGTAATGGGCCGTTGGGGCCGATGGGGGCGATGGGGGTGTGTCTTTTCACTTTGCCTGATGTCTTTGGCAGGGCGTCGCATGCAAAGCCCAGACCCAGAGCCAGTCTGATGGCCAATATTAAATGAACTTTCACTGCAATTGAAATTTATGCGTGGTGGTCGCCCGGCTCAGGCCCGCCGTGGCTTTGGCCCGCCGTAGTTATAGGCATTGGCCGGCAATGCTTGGCCTGGGCTCGATGACGGGTGACGCATTCGCCGGCTCCGTTCGGCCAACTGTGTCCGGCATTTGCCTGCGAGCATCCCATAACAGTAGCCCATAAAATATTAGCATAATCATCGCCGGCCGATTCTGCCCATAGATGAAGTTGTAAAGCGTGATTTGTGGCTAGCTGGCAGATTAGCGGTTAACCTGGATATTTTCGGTTGCCAATTGGCCTGGCACGGGCCATGGATCCCGCGAGTGCTGGGAGGGAGTACCAAAATATAGAAATATGGACCATAATGGCATTAAATAAACCCAAGGGTGAGAAAGGAACTTTTGGACAGGCCTTTGAGTAGTCCGAGAGGAGTTTCCATGGCGAAAAACCATCTTGGGGCATGCCCTTTGTCTGGCTGCCTCTCGGATCTAATTGGGTGTCGATTACAAAAGAATTTTGATGGGCCATTCAAGAAATCCGTCTAAAGAGTATAAAATGCTTGAACCGTTAACCGGCTACACTCCCAGGCCGCAACAGAAACCCCAACTTGTGGGCTCTTCGGCTGAGAGCTTGAAACGTTAATAAACTTTCACTGGTTTTTCGATCTGGCGCAGAATTTGAATTGAAGACACACCGCCGCCAGAGAGACAGACAAACAGCCACCGCATGAGGCACCACACACACACACACACACGCACACATGCATAATGGGAGCCCCACTTTGGGTACGCAAATCGAAGGAGGGGGAGGGGGGGAAAACTGTAATCCACTCCTTAAGTGGCCTACGCAGAAATCCACTGCATCTCGACAAATGTGGCAGCCTTTGTGACAGCTTCATGGAGCGGCTCTAGATCGAGCTCCAGTTTTACCATCTTTTGAGCCAAGGAAAACGGAATCGGCCGCCAAACTAGGCAAGATGCCAAAGCCAATGCCAAAGCCAATGGCTATGGCAATGCGGCAATTAAAAAATGAAATTAGATTTCCATGAATTCCAGCAAAGCAGAAGGCAGGCCGGAGGCAGGCACTTTTCATTTTTGTTGCGCTTCGACCAAAAATGTCACCGATGCCGCGCTCCGTTTTAGGCATGGGATTCCTCCAGTGGCATTGTTTTACCTTTTGCCCAAGACCAGACCAAATCGGAACCACGCCAGACCCCACCAGGCCCCACCAGGCCCCACCAGGCCCCACCAGGCCCCCCCAGACCCCACCAGGCATTATTTAAATAGTGTCCGCGGTGTCCCAGGCGACGACTCTCTCACATACAAATATGACGGTTATAACCCAATTACCGAGCATTTTTCAAGTTTTTGTCTCTGGCTTTTTTGGTGTCGGCGCAATTTGTATTGTACAACTCCCCAAAATGGAGAGTCTCCTCCCTACCCCCTGCCCCTGCCCCTGCCCCTGCCATGGCTTTGGGGCTGGTGTGTGGTCACCGACTGAATCCGACGATATCACAACGAAGACATCAACTTGTTTGCTCTTGCCGGGAATGCCCGCTGTCTCTGTTTGTGTTGCTCTTGTCGAGGAAACGGCTATTGCTGGTTTCTGTTATTGTTGCCACTGCCACTGGCAGTGCCACTGCCACCGAATGGCTACGCTCAGGGGGAGAGTTCGGAAGAGTTCTATGAATAATTCAAGCGATTGGCAATGGCACGCCCGATGGGCAGAGGCAGTGCCGCCAAGAACTCTCTTGTTCTGGGAATCGAGTCATAATTAATGGGCATTTCTTTAGGATTCTCAATGTACAGTTAATACAAAATATTTATATAATTAACTGGAATTTAAATGGTTTTCATATGGAATTTATTTGATGGAAAAACGCTTTGAAAACTTAAGCAATATTTTAATGGTGTTTTTCTGTGAAATAAATTCGATATAAATTCCATTTAAATACTATTAAATTCCAGCTTATTATATTATTATTTTATATAATTTAAATCGAATTTATATGATGGAAAAAGTTTTTAAAAATTAAAACTATTTTTTTATATGATGGATAAACCCTTTAAAAATTAATGCTATATTTTTAATGCGTTTTTCTATGAAATAAACTCAATATAAATTCTATTTAAATACTATTAAATTATATCTTATTATATTATTATTTTATATAATTTATATCGAATTTATGTGATGGAAAAAGTCTTTAAAAATTGAAGGTATATTTTTTATATGATGGAAAAAGCTTTTAAAAAATTGGTGATATATTTTTAATGGGTTTTTTCATCAAATAAATTCGATGGACCCTTTAAAAATATAGCTTAAATTCGATGTAAATTCTCTTTAAACTTCAATTGTTGTTATGAGTGAAAGTTGGGAAATGCTAGACCAGAAAATGCCTAATAATGAGCATAAATCATTGATCTAAACTTTACTAAATCTTTGCTACAAAACTGTATTAAATCTTTATTAAATTATTAAGTCTAAAGCCGCAATTACCATCTTTCTGGCCAATGAATTCTAGTTGAAACAAAAAGTCATGCAACCTTTTATATTTGGCCCCCAAAAAACTCTCTTTACATTGAAGTTGATTAAAACCCCACACCGCCCAAAAGGGACTTTCATTTATTATTAAATTAAGAATTCTTTGGGCGTACTGCGAGTGTATTTGATATTCGCTTAATCACAAGACGGAAAACCGTTAAATCATGTTTTTAGCCTGCTTGTTCTTTAATGACTCGACACCCCACGACTGCCCCACCGCACCGCACCTGCTGCCGCACGGCGCACACACACACACACCCACCGTTGAGGCCGCGGACGGACGGACGCAACGCCCTTCGCTGGCCGCCTTAGTTCTGGTTTAGTTGGTTACGACCCATATTTGAGGGCCTAAAGAGGCACGACAGAGAGCTGCCCTAAACGATAATGAGGTGTACTTCTTTCTGGCAAATGGCAATGGCAATGGCAATGGCCATGGCAATGCCTTCTTGCACTTGTTGCCACTTGCTAATTGTACGCCCTGCAGCCCATAAAAACAACAACAAACAGCAACGAGGGGGGGAGGGGGGCCAGGCGAGAAAAAGTGTCATCCGCTCCATAACGTAACAGAACCAAAAGAAGAACACAGCACAGCACAGCAGAGCACGGCCGTGGCTCATGTGTGGCATGGCATGTGTGCCACAGCACAGCACACTCGTTCTGCTGCTGTTCTGCTGCATTGCCCATGAAAGTCACCTGAATCCCGCTGGGGATCAGACAACTCTAGAGCTGGGGCCTGTCAATGGAGCCCCCAAATCTCCTGCCACTTGGTGGCAACTTTCCTCTGACGCTGCCTCAGCTGTGCCTGCTGCTGCTGGATATTATATAATTGCTGCCCAGTCGCCACTCTCACATTTAACTTAATGAGCCGAAATTTCACTGCAATAAAAGTATTTCATTTGAAGTTTATTTTTGGGGAAAAAAAAAACACACACACAACAAAAAACCGAAAGAAAACCTCAAAAACAGACAAAAGAAATTGGGGGACCGAGAGAGAGAGGGAGAGATGGTCAGCCTGCTGACTCATTTGATGCGATCTCTAAAGAGATATCTTACCGTTTAACCGTCGGGGAACAGGTGCTGCAGCTGCTCTGATTGGCAGTGACACGGCGGCTGGGACGGAGGCGGAGGCGGACGACGGTGCCGGCAAGCTCCAGGCATGCGCTGTGGTCAGGAGGAGCACACCGAACAGCAGGCTGCCCATGGCTGCCTGGACAGAAGGAGGCTGCCAGTCCATTGTGGTTGGATGGATGGATGGATTGCACCGTTAGAAGAAATCAAAAATTCAGCAGAAACAAAAGTCAACTCTCGCTCTGGCGAGGGGCAAAAACACACTGATTTATGGACACTTGTTATCGACACGCACAAGAACAAACGGCGCTTTGTTCCATTTTTGATATTTATTTATTCGAATAAAAAATACAAAAAAAAATATATATATATAAGAAAAACCGATCCAGGCCGAACCTTAACGATACTTTGCCTGATGGGCTCTGCTACTGCGATCTGCGATCTGTACACGACCAAGTTCAAGGTAAGATTAAGCCATGACGAGCATACGTAAGAAGTTTTATACCAAAACATCAGCGCCAGCTGGGGGCTTAAGAGAGCGCAATGTGAAAGCGCTCTGGCTGTGGCTCTGGCTGTGGCTCTGGGGGCCCCGGCCCCGCTCTTTGGAAAGTTTGCTGCCACTGAACCTGGCCAAGAGAGCCAACGGAGCCGATAGAGGCGACAGAGCCAAATGCTGGATCTTGCTATTGACTTGTTCGCTGTTCGCGATGGTAGCTGCTTGCTGGACTTTGGCAAATGTGTGGCATGCACTGAACAAACGGATCAATTAAGCTGTCCGCTATGCGCCTGACGCCTGCCCACCACCAGCCACTGGATGTATACCAATGAACTCTGAAGCTCTGACCTGTGCAGGGCCATTCTATGGGTATTGTGTCACTCGCATCAGCCAGAAGAAAGAGCTGGCTGGATATGGATTAGGCCTTTTGTTTCCCCTCGGGCGGCACACGAATTGAACTCTTCGTTTCATTATTCAGAAAGTCGTTCGTGGCAAGCGAAAGATGCTAATCCTGGCATGTGCAACGGAGATGCTAATCCCTGTCCAGGTTCAAAAGGGGATTCGCCATTCAATGGTAAACAGCTCCGGTGTGCCCCCCACCCACCTCAGGGCACTCTTGCCTTTCCCTTTCCCCTAGTTTTCATCATATACTTAGCACCTGTTGCCGCATAGTTTGTTGCATAGTCTGTTTGCTGATCGAATTAACATTTAGTTTTTGTGCCGAAACAGAGTTGCATCATTCACAAATTCTGGGGCCATCCCAGCACAGGCCGTACCCAATTTTCACCTATTATGGATATGAAAAAGGAAAGTTTTCTAGCTATTTACCCAACAGATGACAGTCCCTAATTGACTCTGACAATTCGCACAGTAATGCTAGATGTGTGTTGGCCTGTAGGCCTGGCCCTGTCTGGGCCTGATAACCCCCCCATCAAACATTGGCAGGTAAACAAAAAGAAAGTATGCACAAAAATATGTGATATTACCAACAGATCGTTGGAAGTTGGAACGAGGTGTGACCGAATCCCATCGGAACCGATTTGGTCAACGCCCTCGATCGATGCACATTGAACGAATTTTGATGAGCATTACGAAATGAGAAGGGTGGTGGTGGGGGGGAATCGTGATAAACATTCCTTATAACAATTTCACTTTCGAACAGTCGGACAGTCGGACAGTAACGAGCAATTAAGGAGACATAGGGCTGTCGCATAGGAGATGTCGCCAGGGATGGCCTGTGACATCCCGTTATCCATTCCCATGTCCGATGGCATGTCCATGCAGGGGCTTCCATGTCCAATTATCATGTTAGGAAGAGAGTGAGAGCAGCCAGATCCACAGACAGCAGGTCTCCAATCCCCAGCCCCCAATCCCCAACCCAACGCTGGAGCCGCAGTCTTGTAGGCCCAGTGTCTTGGCCGCCTGTCAGTTAGACGCAATTATCCACATATTTTTTATAGAAAAAAGGCAAAAGATGCTGCTCCTGGCACTGCTGCTGTCGATGGTTAACTTGGCCCCATGATTTGTCGTTGGCCAAACGAAAGATCCATTGAAATGGAAAGAAAAAAAAACAAAACAGAAAAACCTTTGAAGTATTTCAATAATCGCAATTGCAGTGCCGTGCAGTGCCGTGCAGCGGCTGCTGTTCGGCCTCTGCGTTAGAAAGCAGGCAAACAGTGAAATTCAGTTTGAAATGGATTTGATTTTGATTTTCATTTGTGTTTCCAGTCTTCTATTTCCATTAGAGTTTCCTCGCTTCATTTTGGCCTTGTCGTCTTTTACGTACTTCGAATGCGATTATTTTTTGGCTTTGGCACGGCGACTAATTAATTGAAACGCTCGCCAATGGTCGTCGCCGACAAAGAAGACATCACAGCCATCAGAGTGACATCGGGCACTCAGCAGCCACTCAGCTGCCCACACTTATGATGGCCGACGTCTGCTGTTGGCCTGCTCAAGCCTGTTCAGGTCCAAATCCCGTGTATCCACCCATAAATCAGTCAACGAGCAAGATTCCATAGCGCCAACAGGGAGGAGGCGTTTCGATTCGTCTCCAACACAGAGACGGAGACAAAAGCTGTAAACGTCCATTACATGCTCGAGCGCCTGTCCGAACGCCTCTAATTGCCTTCGATAAATATTTATCGAGCACCTCATCTCGCAGGCTACTCAATTTTGCTCGTTCGCCATTAATTTGTTACACCTGTCGGTTAAGTTTTGTTCATTTAATTGTTTAATTGTTTCTCTCGGCGACGCTTTCTAGAGGGCAACGATACAACAATATTCCGTATACGACATGGCGGGTGCCGCAAATAATTTCTTTGGTTTGAATTTAAAGTCAAAAGACTGAGGAAACGAACTTGGTCTTCTCTGGCATCCTGCCATTCGTTCTGCCACAGTTGGGGGGCAGCAGTTTCAGTTCCCCAGCCTCCTCTGCGGCCACGACAAGTCCAAAGCTAAGCCCTAGGCCAGCCCCAGACCTCCCAGGAACACCGCTGCGCAGGGACCACAACAAAAAACAAAAAACCACAATAGTTGGTGATTTGGTAAAAATTATTGGAAAAAGAGTACTATACTATATCCTATATACATACTATTGTATGTACTATAGAAACACTATACTCCTCCCTTGCAATGCACACAGCAGCGTTTGGCCGTAATTACGAGCACCCAGCCATCGGTATTTCTGTTAATATTGCAGGGGGGGCACGGCACCAAACAATCATGTCGTTGCCGCACTCGGAGACGCTACGATACTCTCCTGCGCGGCTCTCTACAGTCACAATAAGCTGAGCAAAGACAATGCCTGGCATATGTCGTTGAAAGATACGATGGCCAATCTAATGAATCGCCTGCAGAAAAAGCTAAGCAACTTCAAGGTGCTTTTCACTCTATACCCCTTCGACCAATCTGCGGAGCTCAACCTACTTTCCTGCCTTCACAGATGGCTGGCTGTCCCAGGGGGGTCTGTGGATGCAAAGCCAATCAAGTACGGGGATTGCATATTTATTAGAGGACAAGTGGCGCCAAATTCAAATTCCCCGCTCATGCCTGTTTTTTGAACTAAAATAGCCCGTGTGGCGCCATGCAGATGCGTTTTTACGTTGCATTCAAATAAATAAAGCGCCACTGTGAAGAATTTGGGCAATAAATGGAACCCAAAGTAGTTTCAAGGCGACCAGCCTGTGTCAGATATCAATATTATGTTCGATGGCCACCTATTCAGATTCGTAGCATGTTTTTGGGTGTAAATGTAAAAAGCAAGCAGTAAAGTAGACTAGGCGCGATGTTCAAATGCGCAGACAATACGTATGTACATATATGGAATGGACTTTCTGTCCAGATACCTTTCGATAAACCCAAACATCCACTCTGAAAATGGAATAATGTTTTTGTACAAAGCCAATCATATAGAAAATTTATTCGTTTATCAGATAAAGCGATCTTTCTCGTAGCTTCAATCCAATGGATCTTCATAGATTTACATGAAACTTTTTCAAGTAAAACTGTCAGTCACATCCATAACCAGCTCAAGCTCCCCCCCTGCCTCTTTGTCGTATTTTATAGCTTTACCTGTATACACTCTCCGTTAAAACAATCTACTGTCCCAGCGCTAAGCCGTCCATCAATCAACACCCATCTCGCGGGCCATAATCTCTCAATCAACTAAACGGATTGTCAAAGAGGGTAAGGCGACTACGATTACTCAATTTGTTGCCCTTATTTAGTCACTCAATCTTTCATCTTTCGCTCTACACAAACATTCGAATGAAACTGAAAACTCAAAGTAAAGCTGCTAATAAATGGATAAACCGCCAATAATTATCGAGCAAAATTGGATATGTTTTGCCTCCACTTTGGGCCTCTCTTCTGGTGTGGCGCTTTTGTCTGGGGATCAGCCTTCGAGCTACCGTTCAGGCATGTCAAGTCATGGCTCGGCTCGGACTTCCATTTCAATGTTCGCGATAATGTTGATGATTAGACGGCAAAAAGGCGAAAAGGCAAAGCCAGCCGCAGCGCACACGCCCCTGGAAGCCAAAGAAATCTCCTCGGTGGCACACACGTCAAATGCCCAATTAATCAAAGACCCCAAACCGAAAAAAACCGAAAAAAAAAACCTGAAACGAACGTTTCTGAATAGACTTTCTTCTCTGGCTCTGGCTCTGAATCTGGCTCTGACTCTGGCTCTGACTGTGTGTCTGTGGCTCAGACGCAGACATCAATCACGTACTTCTGAGGCTCCGGGGGAAGCCTTTCTTTGGTAATGGTTTCGGCAAAAGATCGCCCACACTCGTATGTGTATTTATGCTATTTATTTAGGGCTACTTTGGGGGAAAATAATTTAATTACAATTTAGGCTTTTAACTAGTTTTAGGTGTACGTAAAGCTGCGTCCTCGTAAAGTCCGCTGACTAAAAGTGCGTGTGCGTTCTTAGCGGTGGTCGTCGCCGGATCCCAAGGGTCGGCAGCAGCTCTATCAGCGGATCAGATGTCTCGCCCGGTACTTGGTCGGCAGCAGGGCCATCGGATCGGTGTCCTTGGGCACCGCGTCGGCGGTCGCCACAGCCGGCTGCTGGCTCTCCCCGAACTGTCCCGTCGGGGCGTAGCCGCCATAGGGATCCGAGCGACTGGCCCAGCCACCCTGCGTCTCATAGTTGTAGCCCTGGCCGGCGAGCTGGGCCTGGGTCTGGGCATTGCCGTGGATGTGCAGATGGATCTCCTTGCTGGGCGGATGGCCGTTGGGTCCGCCGGGTCCGCTCAGACCAGTGGCTCCCCAGGACTCCTTGGCATGGGGATTCCAGCCGGGATAGTTGAACGTGGGCGCCGTGTGCTCGTACTGCCCGAAGAGGGTCGATTTCAGCGTTATGAACTTGCCCAAAATGGCCACGGCATTCATCAGCACCAAAACCTTCAGCAGGAACAGCGACTTCATTCCAATGGCCACCAGGAAGGCCACCATGGCCGACAGTACGCCGAACTTGAAGATGATCGGTATCAGGGCCATCTGCAGGCGACGGATCTTGCCAAAGGTACGACCCTCTGAAAGAGAAAATCGTAATTCATTAATTCTGGCGATGGCGACGGCGAGGAATGGCGAGCTCTAAGAAATCACTTGCCCCAAATGGGATTCCAGTCGGGGTTTATCTGCCATTATTACAATAATTTCATCAATAAACAGACCTGAACGCTCGGGCTATGCGAAAGTCCAATAAAAAACAATTCGCAAACAATAAAAAACAAAAAAAAAAATACCTACAGCCCACAAAAAAATGTATGAGATATTTTCTCATCGTTTTGGAGATGAGCGTACACCGTTTTTCTTATTTATTTAATACTCGTAAATAAGTTGATGCGGAAAGTGAAATTACAAAGGTCCCGAGACAGACACATCTCTCTCGATGCCTGGGTGTTAACACCTTTTAGCGTCTCTAGGCCGCATTGTTGTGGTCTGTCTCTGTGGGGAGCCCTCGCTCGAGTCAGGTTTCATTGAAAACGAAAGTGAGTCAAGCGGCCGGGGCGGGGAGAGCTGGGAAATGGGTCTTGATTAGAAGAGCCGCTAATCATTCAAGAGGCAGATGTAATCAGCTTTGAAATGGAAGGCAAAGTCGAGCACTGGACCACTACTGGGGGCGGGGGAGCTCCACTAATTGTTGTAAATGTTTTTGGGGGTTTTTGTTGACTCACCCACAGCTGAGGTTTCGGCGGATGGCTTCTCTTCGTCGTCGTCGCCGAAGAGGCTTTCACCCAGATCGCTGCGCAGCCAGGTCCAGAGTGTGCGCACCATGCCCCAGACACTGAGATCGGTGGGGTCTGTGGCCGCCTGAACGGCGGTGGGGTTCTTGCTGCCACCGGTTGTGGCGGCAACAGCTGCTGCTGCCGCCTCTTTGTCTGCCTCCTGCTCCTCCTCCTCCTCGTCGTCATCATCATCATCATCCTCGTCGTCGTTGTCTTCATTGGCTTCCTCCTCCTCGCCGACTGGTGGGGCAGCCTCCTCGGCGGCAGATGGCTCGGCTTTTTCTCCAGTAGACGAGGGTTTCTCGACCTTTTTTGTTATCTTGGCGCTAAAAGCGCTGCTCAGGCAGCAGAGGGCCAGCAACAGCACCAGCAGTGAGTGCCTCGCACTTGAACTCTTTGTGAGAAACTGAAAGTGGAGCCAGATAGAGAGAGAGGGAGAGATAGAGAGAGAGGACAGAGAAATTATATCAGTACGCTCGAGTGTGTGTCGCTCATTGTCTAGGAATGACAGCGAGACAGAAAAAGAGACGCTTAAAAGCCATTTCATCATTTCCAGTTCGGATTCAGGTTCGGTCGGAAATTGCGTAAACGAAAGACTTGGGAAACGAACCTGTCCTCGGGCCCTGTGAAAACGCATTTTAGAATCCACTTTAAGCCAGGCCCAAACTCGTAAAACCTTTTTTATGGCCCCGCACTCCATCCCCCCCACCCCCCCAGGTCTGGGGTGCGAAAGCATTTCCCATTTTGAACTGTTGCACAATCAAACATTTTTGCGTTTTAGGAAATATATTTCTTCTTTGGCCCCTGCCGCCGCCGCCGCCGCCGCTGGCAATTTATATGTTAATTTAAAAGGTTGCCAAAAAATACATATCTGTCGGATATTGTATATAAATGGGTTTTGATTTATATTTGACGCATTTGCCGGATATAACTAAAGTGAAATTTGGGACGACAGATCGGGAAAATACCCAAAAAACCCAAAAGGAAACTGGGGAAAAGGCATTTAAAGGGGAATCTATAACCCCTTGAGGGAAGATCTTTTGATTTTCGAATTTGTAAAACATTTAAAATTCCCACACACTCAATTTTTGGACTCCGTGTGGGACAACCTTTACTTGTGGCCAAATGGCTTGCCGTAAAGTGAAATCTAAATATGACCTGGCCCCAGCCCGAAATTTCTTTCCCAGAACGAACACAGAAAAAAAAAAAAAAAAACCGAAAGTCATTGGATTTGGGAGATTGTTTTGGGGAGCTTTCCATTTCCAATTCACCGGCAGAACAGAAAACCGCCGAAAACCATAATTGTAGTTACCAATTTGGGGAAGATATTCCCCCCCCCCCCCCTGGGGGCCCCAACAAAAGAGTAAACAATTTATGTGGATCTAACGGTTGGCTCCGTTCCCCCGTTTCGCTGGCGATATTTTAATTAACGCAAAGAATTTGCATGCCAAAAAAACCTGGCCAAAGGCTGAGAATTAAGCCCAAAGAATGCTAGACATAATTTGTGTGTGGCATTCGCATTATCTAACAACAAAAAAACAGAACAAAAACAGAACAAAAACTCTATTTTGGAGAGCATTGTGGCCCATAGCTTCGTTTTCCTGTTAGTAGGCCAAAACGCTTTTGTGCTCGAAAACTGTAAATGGAAATCTATTTTGGCATGGCCTTGATTCACACAAAAATTAATTGAATTTCGATGAATGCAACGCATGCAGCCCGGTTAGAAAACAAAGAAAGAAAGTCTTTCTCTCTCTCTGCAGTGATGCAACAGCCAGAGAAATGCATCCACAGATAGTGTCTGGCATTTGCATAGTTATCCATTCCGGATTGACAGACTGAACGCAGTTTTTCCAGCTTAGTTTCACTTCCAGCCCACATTAATTAGCATCTTCTGGGGCTGTTTCGTCATCGCTTCGAGGAGTGTTATCAAATCTGACTCAGGGCCCAGTCTTGGGTGAAATTTCGTTCGACTTGGGCTTGGTTATATGTAAATATTAACCGAAAAAACAGGCTGCGGCTGGCTCAAATATTTGCACTTGCTGGTGGACCGAGATTTCACTGATCCCCCAAGGGAGGGCCCCCCGCCCCCCCCCTCCATAGGAAAATCTCCATAAAATGTTTATTCTCAGACTGCCATTTCCCAACGCCCATTTATCGTATTATTTTAACTAATTTGCCAATAATTTGCCAATAATTTGGTGCTGTTTGTTCTGTCTGTCTGGCGCTGGAAATACCCTAAATTATCCAAATTATACCTAAAAGCCATAAACATTATATGGTATTTTGTTTACCCCCAGCCTAATTGAGCCCAATGAAACATTTATTACTTGTTTTGCAGGGGGGTGGGGAGGGGGGGCATAAATTCCCTGGGACTTTCTTTTCACGTGGGCTATAACCAAACATTATTATTGGCCCACATATAATTAATAATTATGTGTATGCTAATAAAATCATAAAAACAAAGCCCGCATCCCGCAGCCCCCCCCTTCCCCCCTCCCCGGAGATAATTATGAATCTGAGGCACGACTTTCTTTGTTTATGAGGGTTTTGCAGCCATTATGCAATTGAGTGGCACGTGGTTGAGGCCCGCTTGACCATTATCTAATGTCCATAAAAACATATTAAATGTCGCAGTTCATGACACGGGCCATATGGCAGGGGGGTGGGGCGCGGGGGGTCGGATGGGCCAAGATTTGAACAACAATTGAAAACGGGGCAGCGGAATGAAAACACGCCTCAAAAGAAAGTTTTTGGCCAGCACAAAACAAGCAAAAGATTGTGGCCAAGAATTTGGCATTTGTCACACTAGCTTTTTGGCCTTCATTTGGGCCTTTTGTGGGGGCCTTTTGAGCCGGGATTGGGGTAAAGCGGACGCCGAACGCGTGCCTGGCATGGCAATGGGCCCCCAACCCCCACCCCCCTAGTCTTTGGGGGGATTCCCCCGACTTGTGACTTACCATTTTTTTTTTAATGATGGCTCAGACTCTGTGATCTGTGGCTAATTGGGGCCTGCAGCTGGAGTATCCTTAATTATTTCAGTTTCAATTGCACTGCGGCGCCGGGCAATGAACCACTTTCACGCCAATCTTCAGCAGACACGCAAACAGAAACAACAATAACAACAAAAAAACACACAAAAAAACACGGTAGAGTGGCCAATGGAGTCCAAGGAGTGTGCTCTGTATTTGGCCAAGATTAAGGCGCTCTGATTGAGTCCGTATCGAAAGAGATGCCTGCTTGGGCGGCTGGTGGCGACTGCAATGCTTGAGATGTACCCACTGACTGCCACTTGGCGCTGGCCCCGGCCAACAGGTAAAGTCCGTCGTCTTGCCTCTGCCTCTGCTGCCTCTGCTGCCTCTGCTGCTGCTGCTGCTGCGTCTGCGGCTCGCTCTCGGTGTTGGACGGGTCTGTTGGCTCTGTTTTGGCCAGCGCTTCTTCGGGCTTGTTTGCTTTGGCCGCTCTCCCAGAGCCAGTTGGCGACAGCGATACAGAGACAGAGACAGAGAGGCGCACGCTCTTCCAGTTACAATTTCGTTTTCAACACTTTCTTCACAATTTCCCCTAAACGGCAGCAGAAGATCAACCAACATCGAGTCGAAACCAAAAAAACTGCAAAGTCAATGTCGCTCCATGTCCATATCGCTCTGTCTCTCTCTCTGCCAGTGTCTCCATCTCTTTTTGTGCATGTTGTGTGCTTTTATTACGAATTGTCGTGCAATGGAGCAGAGCATGAAAATGTTTTGACGAACGTGACAAAACGCACAACTGACGTCACAAATTACTGGCAGTACCAGTCCCAGTCCCAATCCCAGTCCCAGTGCCCTGCAATGCTGCTCTCCTTCACTCTTCCTCTCTCGCTGCCGCTCTTCTGTTGGGGCTCTGCTGCTCCTTGCATCTGCTTTTAAGCCCTGCCTAAACGAGGCCTCCTTTGGCCTCTACTTTGGAACAGAAACCAGCTCTGTTTCAGCTCCTGTGCCTGTGAAGATAGCCAGGCTATCTGCAGATCCCACAGCAAACCTGCTGCCTCTTGCCCCCTTAGTTATTTTCAGCTAAAATAAATCATATTTGCGGCCATAAATGTCACCAAAAAAGAGCATTTAGAGGTCTTTGAAAATAAATCTCCTTGGGCTTTCTCATGGCTTTCGTGGGGCCAAAGTGATGGCAAACATTTTTGCCGGCTACGTTTTACACGATCTCCGTCGCTCTCTGGCTGGCTGAGGCTTTCGTGATTGTCTTGACCCATTTCCACACTACGCAGGTTTCTCACTCTCTCTCTCTCTCTCCCATCTCTCCGTCTCTCCCATAGCCTCGCTTTTACGCATGCCGCACTCCCAAGGGGGCATTCATTCGATCCATTCACATTCACCGAAGATCATCTGTCTCGCGTCTCGCGTCTGCAGTGATTTGCATGATAAGCAGAGGCATTCTTTAGGTCTATAGTAGGTTGGGCATTTAAGAACCTTTAAGAACCTTTTCTGATCAGATGCTTAGGCTTTGATTTGTGGCTAATGGATTGTCACAGTTCCAAGAGGAAGTTACAGTTAGGCTTTCAATAGGCATCTTGCTCCAGAAATGAAACGAACGTTCGGTCGGGTTTACGATCATGCCATTACATCAAATGGTATTGCCACATGCCTCAGTTACATAAACAAACATAACTGCAACTGTCATAAGTCATAAGTCGCAAGTTCCAAGTCGAGAGTCCAGAGTCAAGTTCGTTGCTCTGTCGATGTCCGATGTCCGATGCAGTGTAAGTCGCCGAGTTTGCCCAAAAATCATTACATAATGGCACCCCACCCAACTGGAACCTGGCGATGGTGTGTGAAAACCGTTAAGTACCTCTCGACTGGGCTCAGGTTCACGTTCACGTTCAGGGTTCACCGGGAGGTTGTGTCTTGTCTCGTCTCGTCTCGTCTCGGGTTCAGGTTTTTTCGGGGCTCAGTTCGCTCTGGTCTGGGCCCCGCTTTAATGGGCCCCGCTCCATTCATTGGAACGCTCTATTCCTAACGGTTCTCACACCTTTTGACGGTTGATCTGTTTACCATTCTCCCCCACCATCGAATATTTGCATTTTGATGGAGGTCATTATCCGAATCGTTTCCGTTGAGATGCTGTAGAGTATTCCATTACCTGCCATTACTCTTCCGATATATACGATATCTTTTATTAACTGAACAACAAAAAAAAAACATTAATAGTATAATCCCCCGCCCTACTTTCGGCCCCAATTCGCCTGATAGACGCTCGCATAGTAGTTCTGCCAGTTGGAATTGCTCAGCGAGGCATACGGATTGTTGTAGTTGTTGTTGTTGTACACCGGATACAGATACTGGCCGATCACATACGGCCAGATGCGTATCTTGGTGTTGGCATAGGGACTCGGCGTCGTGTACGTGCTGTAGTAGTAGGGATACGGCGTGGTCTGGTAGTAGTACTGGTTCAGGCTGGAGAACGTCGGACTGGGCGTGTAGTATGGATTGTACTGTGTGTAGTACTGGGCCGTCGTCAGCTGAAAGAGGCACGGAGTTAGTTGGGGGCGTTGGAACCCTCCGCGGGCAGGACACTCACCGCCAGCAGGGTGGCCATCGATAGCCAGAAGAGGCTGCAACTGTGGCTGGACTGGTGTGACATTTTGTGCGAAGCTGGAGCTGTGTTTCCCGACTAATCTATGTGGCGCTCGGACTTTTACCCTTTATAGGCCCCCTGCGGCGGGACAATTTTACGCACTGCTGCCGGATGGCAATTTTCGCAATTAACTTTGGAGCCCTGTTTTTGCGGCCACTCGCATTTCGTCATTGAACTTGACTCATCGCCGGGTAACGTTCGGTGCCAGCAACCACCTGATGGCCGGGGTTGTTTACCCACTCGATGGCGTCCGGTGGATTCCCGTGACGTGCGAAAGATGGCAAACGCTTTGTTTCTCCGCCACAAATTAGTCAATTAATTATGAAGAGCATTTTGGGGTAGCAGCAGAATTTGATTTCGTTTTTATTTCGTTTGAACTTTGCTTATACGAAGGTTATTTGTAAATTATACAATTTGGGGGGGTGGGGGCGATCCGCAGTTGTTCCGGGGACTATCGGGAATGTAATTTCAAATAGCAAAAAAAAAGGGGGGGTTAGTGGGTGTGGGTGTGGGTGTGGGGCGGGGACCATCTCTATATACATTATATACACAACACGACTCGTTCTCCTTCTCCTTCGCCTCCTCGTCCTCTGTCTCTCTATTTCTAGACCTATCGCTAGCTCTATCGTTACGCAATTAGACTAAAATACAAAAAAAAAAAAAATTACAAAACGAAACTCAACAAAAATTGTCAACAAGTCGCTTAAATTAATATTCATATCATATCATTTTCATTTTCATTTCATTTCATGGAATTTTACACGCATTTTAATTTAATTAGTTTGTTGTTCTTTTGCAAAGACAATAAATATTTAGTTAAGTGCAAATCGATTTAGTAATCCTCATCGTCTTCATCTGGCGGATCCGTGGCGTAAGTCAGTTCATTCAGATAGAACCATTTCTGCCGAATAGATACAGATACAGATACAGATTGATTATAGATTTAGGAAGTTATGGGCCATGATCTGCGGACTTACGGGTGACTCTGTGCAATTGAAATTGTAGTCCCAATCGCAGATTCTGTATTCCTGATTGAAGCTCGTCTCGTTGGCGCACAGGTGTGGAATCCGATTGCCCTCTTCGTCGCACATATGGAAGATCTGTGGCACAGAAATGTTAGCATACTTTCGGGCGGCAAGCGAAAAGACTCGCTCTCTCTCGCTCTCTCTCTCTCGCGCTCACCTGGCAATTGTACTCCATATCGGCATAGAAGCCCACCGAACGCCGCTTGCAATCGAATGAGAATGTTATATTATCTAAATTCGTCCATTCCTTCGTCTTGTGATTTTGAAATACTGGACTGGCTGGCTCTTGGCCCTGAACCGCAATGGCGGCCAGCAGGATGGGAGCTGCAATGAAATAAATCCAATAGTGAATCCATGCCACAGATCCAAAGGGTATTTTCTGTATTCGTTTGTTTCTTGTATGGTTTGTTTTGTTGTTTCTTTTACACTTCTTGCACTCGGCCAGCTGTCTGTTGGCCACGTTCCCTCCTTCTTCTCGCCTTCTACAGGCCATGGCCAATTCCATAAGTTATTTGGCTCACGCCTGGCCCAGCACACCACGAAACGGGCCAAAAAGCAACCAACCTCAACGTCAATGGCTTAATCGACGCACTTAGCATTTAATTTGTGTCTCCCTCTCTGTCGCTGTCTCTGTCTCTCGCTCTGTCTGTCTCCGTCTTGGAGTCCCCTATTGGGGACAGGTACTCACCTAGTAAAACGCCGGAAAGCCATAAAATTCTATAACTGTAAACCATTTTTGTGGCGTTGGACATTTTGGCGTGAATTTTGTTACTCTGGCTCCTCGTTGAGGTGTTTCGCCTCTGGCTGGCCTGCTGGCGGGCTGCTCGCTCTGTTTCGATATCACGATGCAAATCCAAATCACGCTCTCAACTCTCGACTCTCGCTCGCTGGCTCTTTTGGGCCGTTTGCTACGCGTCCATTTAGTTGGCTCTTCTGTTGTCAATTAGGAAGCGTAGGTCTATGGCTTCTGGCTTCTGTCTTCGGGCTTCGGGCTTCTGGGCTATGGCTTATGGCAGGCACATGGCTAAAACGAGAAAACAAACAAAAATTTCGAATTAATTTTCAATGAATTTTTGCAAAGGAAGCCAGCTCATGAATTTTATGTATTCCTAATGATCTGTTATTGCCTTTATTTTTGTTTTTACAAACAAGTCTCTCAGGTTTCAGGCAAATCGATTGAAAATTCCCACAGATTTTGTTTTATTGCAGCAGAAAGTATTTCCAGGAAGCTCTAAAATATTTCTATATTTAATATTTAGATCTGAAATGTGATATTTGTGGGGGATAATAGCTTATAGAGAGAGGTTAAGCCCCCTAAGCACTGGCTTTTGTTCTGCTCATACCCCCGGCTCACTAGCCTCCCAGAGCTGTTATGGAGACATTCAAAGGCCAACAGCTGATCTGTAGATACATTTTCCGACAGTTTTAGATGAGAGGGGGATTCTCTCCATGGCCTCCATGAGCCTCCATGGAAATGTAGGGAGGCAAAAAATGTGCCATAACTCTCTGACCAGCTGGCCATTAAATTGAATTAAAGTGGGCTTACAGTCTATTACCAAACCAAAGCCAGACATGGCAGACAGGCCGAAAAGCTTAGACGCAATTTACATGCCGAACCCACGCCACAAATAAAATGGATCCGAGATTGACTCATCAAGCCGGATGCATCGGCTTCTTCGTTAATTGATTTCTGTTTCAATGAGAGAACCACTCGTGTACGGTCCACACCTTCTCTTGGGGGGATACAGCAGGATGTGACCCACTTTGGTGTCAATCAGAATTCTATGACTTCTGCTGACTAATTGTCGAGAAATATTCAAAGATATTTCATAATACCATTTCGCATCAATCATTTACTGTCAAATAAACAATGAACGAGACGGGGGCGGTCGAGTGGGGGGCGGGGGGTGCCATTAAAAGACAATCAGTCAATGGATTCTATTTATGCAAAACAAAATTCAACGTCTTGTGGTTGGTTTCTTTCTTTTTTCGAATTGATTTATATTTTATTTGGGTATTTTGATGGTTTTATTGTTGAAAGAAGTGAAAGAAGGCCGAGAAGGCCTTGCTGCCGCAATTAAATTGTCAACCCGGTCTGGAGGAGAATCGAAGCTGAGGCCTGGCGAGCGATTGGCGATTCCCTTGATTAACTTTTATTGTACTATCGTGTACCTCCATTTGGGGGATCTTTCACTCGGCGGGGCCTGGCGACTGACTGGTAAATCCTTGACATTTTAGTGGAATTTATGGCCTCTGGATGCGTAGATGACGTCGATTGCCATCGCGCCGCACAAAGGCCATGCCACGAAAGATTGCAGACGAAATAATCGTAAATTGTTTTTGTCTTGTCTTGGCCTCCCGCGCAACTAATTTTCCTGGCACTGGCGCTGGCTCCAGACTCCCAGCTCCAGGCTTCTGGCTCCAGGAGGGGTGCCCCCCCCTCCCCCCTGCCACCACAAAAATGAATGATATGCAAATTTTTGCCTCTCTTAAGCCGAGTCCGTGATGAAGTGAAGGCAGTCTTAAGGCGACGTAAAAGGTCATCAGTGCCCGGGCCAAGCAAAAAGTCATCTTCACGCAAAACTGGAAAACATTTCATGGAACGTATGGCAGGAGAGGGCGGGGAGGGGGCGGGGAGGGGTGGGAAGGGGATTTGAACAAAGAGGCGCCTCCAAGATGACACAGCAGCAACAGCTGTCCGTCTGCCCCCGCCTCTGGAGCCACGTATTACTCTGTCTTTCACCTTTTCGACGGACTGCCTGACCATGGCGCCTGTGACAAATGCCAAAAGAGAGCCACCACGAGCCACCAGAGTGGTGGAGCATCTCCCCTGCTATTTTTGTTTTGTTTTAATATTTCCGTGTAGAGGTCTTGGGTTTTTGGCTAATGGGAAAACACTCTTCAGGCGGCTTCACTTCATTAGAGACGCCCACAAGTCCTTAAGAGGCTTTTAGCCAAGAGGTAATTGATTTTAACGGATTTTAGACACGATTGTTGTTTGAGGCGCCATCAGTGGCTGATTTAATGGGGGGTTTTTTTCTCAACACAACAATACAACTTTATAGAGTGGGTTTTGATAGGAGTTTTGGCTAATTTATAATGCATTCGCTTTGGTTGTTGTCCATAGATCTTGAGTTCGTAAAATTTACCCACGAAAGAGGGGAAAAACCTTCCAGGACACCCTGGAACCCCCCCCCGAACTCTGGAAATTCCCCCGAAATCCAAAGAGCATTCAAACTTCGTTCTTGGGGCCAGCCCCATGATGGCTGATGGGGGGATATCCCCCGTAATGTACATCGCATCGTCACTTTTGACATTTTCTGACAAGCGTGAGAAGCGATAGAGAGAGAGACAAGACCGAGACCCTCTGGAGACGGCATCGGGCTCGGGTATGGTCGTCTATCAATTTGCTCCGGCTGGTTGACTCTTGTTGTTGGGGTCCTCCTTCGTGCCACCAGCATACCGTTGCCATACCGTTGCCATACCGTTGGCCCCGTTGCAAGTGCAGTCACACATCTGCATTCCGCGAGCATGTGCGACATTAATTTTTTAAACAATTTTGAAAGTCCCATTTGACTTGATTGTTGCTTTTGTCGGTTGTCGGTTGTCGATTGTCGACTGGCGGCTGTCGGCTGGCGGCTGTTGTTTGGCGTTTCGTTGATTGGATTTGCGGCTAATTCGGAAGTTTGTTGGCGTTGGCTTGCGAAACATCGCACTAATTTGTTAATTTCTGACGCGTAACCGAAGGCGCAATGTTTTATGAGCGGTTTCTGGGGCCCCCCCTTCTAAATTTATGCAAATTTTCCCAAATTATTTTATTTCTTGATGAAACAAAAAACCCAGGGCATAATAGTGAGGTCGAAGTGGGAAATACTCTTCGATGACGAGGGGAATGCACCCAAAGAAAAGCCCCTGAAATTTGAATTTAATTTTAATTTAATTAAAATGTATGCCAATCGATTTTCATCGAGAATGGACATTTTTAAAAGATTTGTCATCAGATTCAAATATATTTCATATTAAAAATAAATGTATTTCATTCTTAAAATAAATTCATTTCCTACAAATCTAATTTTTCTTTTATGTATAATTAGGATTCTATTTTGTATTTTTGATTATAAAATAATATCACTGATACAAATTATGTTGTTTGCTGTTACTATTAGAGCAACTTATACAACAGTCACAGGAACAACTACGATGAATACAAATTTAATGCATTATATTTTTTTTTTTAATTAAATATTTTTTAATTTTTTTAAAATTAAATATGTTTTAATTTTTTTTGCAATTAAATATTTAAAAAAAAAAATTTTTAATACATTTATGTTTAAATAAAATTAAGCTTTATCTAATTTCTCTATGTTTATATTTAAAAACAAAATATTTCCTTTAAATATGGTTGTGTCTCTTTTTGCTCTGCCATTTTTCTCTGAGTGTAGCTATAGGATAATGCCTTTATTCAGAAACTTTGCCTCAAGAGATCTGTTTTTAGACCAGGAAAGATAATTATAAGGTCTTCTCAACCAATCGGTTCCACAAATACATATTTCAGAAATGATCCCATATGATCGCAGTAAAGAACAATTGGACCTTCAAAAGTTTGAAAATCCCTTCTTTCCGCCAGAGAAAAAACCCGAAAATTTAATTAGAAATTAGCTTTTGATGTTCCCTTCACCGCCAAAATGCAACAAGGTGAAAAATCAACCAAAAATAAAAAGGAAAAGCTGAGAAAATTATTTCACCATTGGATGTGTGGCTAGTGTGTGTGTGTGTGTGTGTGGCAGCGGAAGCAACGCTAATTGGCGGAACTGCCACACAACAACAACAACAAAAACAATGGATAAAAAGAAAAGCAACAGAAATATGTTGAAACGACCAAGCGACGGCGATGGCGATGGCGATGGCGATGGAGATGACGATGACGACACCTGAGACGGCGTATTGCCACCGCGCCCCAAAGGGGATCCGGTGGGGATCGGACGGACTTACATAAGCCATAAGCAGCGGGCAAAAACATGGCCTAATCATCGCATCCGACTCCCAAGTAGCAATTGATTAGGCCGAACGCGTTGACACCTGGACAGCAGGACAACATTTTGCACAGACACACATTTTTCAACGCCAACGACTGGGCAAAACAAAAGGCTAAAAACACACACACAAAATGGATTCCGTTTAATTGAGTAGCCAGCCAGCCAGCCAGCCAGCCAGCCAAACGGGAAAACTTGTTGCGCCGGGCTACGGGTACCAGATCGACCGGCATTGCCGGGCCCCATCCCGCTCCAAAGCGCCGTGCCATATGGGGGCTTCCGCCCGCTCCGACCGATTGTTGGCCTTGAAATTTTCGGTACGCAGAAATGCGCTGCTTAATGCGAAAAATCAATATTGCTAAAAACACACAAGCACAAACCCAAACAGACGCCCCGCATCGGATATACGAGTATGTATATTCCGGCTGCAAATCAACAAAAACTAAAAAGAAAATAAAAATAAAAAATTAAAAGTTAAACCGAAAAACCGGATCGCACTCGGACTCGGAGCCGCCACTAAACAAAGCGATCAAAGCCGATTTATAAACGAAACAGCTACACCAAAGCGCCCCCAAAATATAACAAAAAACAACAACAACAAAACAGTCCAAGAAATTGAAAAAAATATACAATATTTAATTGTTAAATGATTGTAAAAATCATGAATAAAAGGCCAACAAGAAATGCTACATTTTGAGATAAAAGGTTAGGCAAAGATACACTGTTAGTGTATCTTTTGGATACACTTTTCACACAAGCTTTGCCATAATCCCTATTCAAGTTATTTAATTAAGATCTCAACAGCTCTGGAAAATGTATTTGAAACGCCTGCAGCTAAATGAAATGTAAGCTCCTTAAACGAAGGCGATTTAGCGATCTATAAAGGGGGGGGGAAACACCGTCTGGGAAATAAATTGTCAAAGAAAGTTCATTTCGAAGATATGATAACTTGTTTGACACTCGGGAAAATATAAACCAATTACTTATGATGGCTTTAACGATTGCAACTTAATTTATGGCTTATATAACCATATTTTAACGGATCCCCAGTGACAAACTACCAATTAAAGAGCGGTTTTATTAATGAATCGTATCGGGCGAGGGGATGTGTTCATCGATGGTTGGATATCGGGCCTAAGTTTCTATCAAGGTCCTCCCCCAAAACGAAACATCCTTGGCTACAGTTACCTTTCGATTAACTCTGATAATACCCTTTGTTGTTTTTGTACGTATAGGAAGCTGAGGCGGGGAGCACACAAAGCTAATAATTATTTAAAATTCCATTAAATGCGTGAAGAGATACCGCCGCGAAGCATTGATCGATCGATCGATCAATCGATCACACAATGCCAATTCAGTGATTTAAATGCCATCAGCAGTGGATGCCGATGCCCAAGCCGACCTCTGACAATAATGCTGACAACAGGCAACAACCAACAGGCAACAAGCAACAGCCGACAAGAAGACAATCACAAAAGACGGATCAGCTACCGATCCGAGCAGCAGGTCTGGCTAGCTCTGGGCTCTGACCTGCCAGACATCGGTGTCCATCCGTCATTAACATATCAGCAGTTGTGCTTCAGCAGAAATAACAATCGTTACAAGGGCAACAGACCGCAGCCAGAGCCCCAGCCAGAGCCACAGCTCCAGCCATCATCTGCTGAAGATGATAATGATGATGATGATGAAGAAATTGTTCAGTTATCTGGACAGAGATACACAGAGATACTCAGGGTGCACATACAGATGTACATATGTATTTTTAGATTCGCTAAGGTAACATCTCATTGAAGTTGCTATTGATTGATCGCCTTGCTGCCGAAACCGACACCGACACCGACACCGAACCCTATTCCTGTCCATCCTCTTAACAGCAGCTCATGGCAACTCATGTGATTTGTAGTGCGATTTTTGGCCAGTGGCTGGCGATGACGAGTCGCCTTTGAAGTGGCCATTAGGCCTGCAACGCATAGATACAAAGATACATAGATACAGCTGAAAAAAACCAAACCAATCATCGCCACAGAAACCAGCATTGCCAAAAGGCAGCCATTTATTTATTTATACATTTATTTTGCAATCTTGTATTAAATTTTTAAACTTCAAACTTGTCCAACTTGTTGGCTCGTACGTATTGTGGTATCTATAGGAAAAAAAGGTGTGATATTGAGCTCAACTTTTGGTTAAGGTTAGGGGCGGCACAGGTGATCGAGTGGCGGGGGCTCTCTTCAAGATTCCCCAGCTCTTTGGGGCATGAATGCTGTGATTCTTCTAGAAGAATCCCTTGAGTCTCCTGCTCAGCACTCAATGAACTCAAATCTTTCCATAACAGCCTCAAACAGTCTATTCAAAGCACCATAAACTTCTGTGACGCACATAGCAAGAATTATTTAACATAAAATTGAATAATTTATCTGTTCGTTTTGCCAATAAATGTATAATTTTGTTAGCTGCCAAAATCAAATCGCCCAAGCGTCCGATTTGTCGATGATTGGGGTTTTGGCCAATTCTGGTTTGATTTCTCAATTGGCTGAGTAATTTGAACCGGTTGGCAGAGCAGCCCCGAAGCAAAGCCCTTTTGGTCGAGTTCAAGGCTCGCCACGTGTCGTATACTTAATGTGCCGGTGCACACGTTGCAATGTGCTCGGACTCGGGCAAACGCTTTTCACACAATTAAACAGCAGCCAGCAGGCAGCAGGCAGCAGGCAGCATTAACTAACCGACTGGTAATGTGGCAGCCATAAATTTTATGTAAATCGCGCTGGCTTGTGTTTTTTTTTTTTTTTTTTTTCGTTTCGTTTCGTTTCGTGTAGCTTAAGTTTTATTGCAGCTAAAGAAGAAAACGGTACAGACGAGACGCTAAACAATGCAAATAAATTACGGCTGCTGCTGGTTGCTGGCTGCTGGCTGCGGGTGCGGATACTTTGTAAATACTGATGTGCAATTGAACGCAGAGATCCACACAGATAGGCAACACCGACACACAGACACTGCAAAGATTTTCCAAGAATGCGGCAAGCGGGTGGCTGCCACTCCGTAGCCGCTGCCACCGCCGCAACCGCCGCTGTTGCTGCATTTAACTTACACTTAAACAACCACAATCCTAAGCAACAAGTTTTTTTCTTTCCTTCTTCTTCTTTTTTTTTTTTTGTTTTTTTTGTTTTGTCGAAGTCATCGATTCAGCATTCAGCATTCAGCTTTTGGCTTTGTCTGGCACGCCACTCGTCGCCGAGCAGAAAATGCAAGTGAGCATTGAGTTTTTCTTCTTACCAACCACTGGAAGAGCCAGCCAGCCAGCCAAATCAGGCCCAAAAAAAGTGGAAGGCCTAGAATATGGCATGATTATTCTTTGCCATAGAATTCCATTATCAATTAGTTTCGTTTTCTAACGAAACAAGTTTCTTTTACTGGGAAGGTCAACACAACAAAATCTCTAAAAATGCATAATGGCATAATACTTGGAGCTCTTCAGCCTCTGCCTCTGCCTCTGCCTCCCCCTCTCCCTCTCTATATCGTTCCACCTCTCCTGAAGCCTCCTTTTCCCTCTGTATACAAATCTTTGTACCCAATATCTCTCTGTTTTAAGCCTCTTCAACATTTTCGTTAGGTTCTTCTACGAATTAAATACACATTTGTTGACCATTTGAAAGATTTATGAAGTGATCGTGCCTCTTTTGCATTTTATTTATTGATGAGCGATTATTTTGACACGCAAAACTATATATTCTCGCAAATAATTAATATTAATGATGGCGATAATGTTTGTGTTTCACTCCATTCATGAATAAAACAGAAATATTTCAAAATAAACGCTCAAGATTAGATTTAATAAGAAATACTATCTATTCAGTCACCCAGAAGGGTGTTGCCTGTCCAGGGGCCAGAGAGAAGACCTTCGTGGGCTTAGCCCAAGGGGGTGGGCTGTGGGTGTGGGGGGGAAGGGGCAACTCGTTATCTTGTTCTTTTGCATATTCATGCGGCGCTGTCCACTCGCTAGTGTGCTGAATGCCAAAGTTTAAACGGCCTTAAGGCCCCCTCCCCCCACCACCCGTCTGGCTTACGCAAATTTGCTCCGATTTGTGACAAATTTGGATCGTGTGGCAGGGCTCGGTCTGCGACTGGGGCAGGCATTGAATTATGCTAATTTCGCCGATAGCGATACATCATTATGCAAGCCCCACGAAATGGGAGCACACGCATTGTATAAGAGTTTCTGCAGCTGGAGGGCCTACCTACCTTTTTGGAGACTGCACTGGAGGAGGTGGTGGTGGTGGTGGTGGAGGAGGAGGCTGCGCGGTAAATCCAAAAAACCGAGACCAGAAATCCGCAAATCCGCAAATCCGCAAATCTTTAAGGCACTGCAAAAAAGACTTTCTTGCCAAATCTTGAGGCGGCCGCTTAATTATTTTTTGGAAAACGCATTTGCATAAGATTTTTGTTGTATTATTTTGTGGGTTTTTTTTTTGCTGTTTTGCTGCTGCTGATTATTATTTTGGTTGTTGTTGTTTTTTTTTTTTGTCGTATTTATGTAATAGACTTTTTTCTACTTTTTAGTTGGAGGCGAGCACTGGAAAAAATATTTTCTATTACGATGGCTGTGTTTCACCACCCCACAACAAGCAAAAGGCAACAATAAATTTTATATATGTACATCTATATTGTATATATAAATATTGCCTTGCTCTTTCTTCACACGCACACACACACAGACACACACACACACACAAAGAAATAAACGCAGACAATCGCTGAGATACACGCGCACCGTCTGGAGTATCGGGTAACCGTCAGATGCAAAGATACAAAGCCAAAGACAAAGCAACAACCGTTCGCTGGGGCACACGTCGCACGAATAAAACGGCCAAAAGACGGCCCAGCCAGAGTCAGAGCCAGAGCCAGAGCCAGAGCCAAACACTTGACGGTGGGGCCCGCAAAACAAAAACACAAACAAAAAGTCCCAAAGATCCCAAAGAGCCAAAAGACAAAACACAATATTCAAACACAACAAAGCCACAAAAACAGAGGCGAAATGAAAAGTGTTTCTTTGGCTGAATTTTTGTGTTTGTTTGAGTTTTGTGTTTTGTGGTGTCTTTCAGCGGGCTTTTGGCCAATGCATTTTTGTGTGCCGTACGCTTGTGGCCTCGTTTGCTTACAGTACGGCTGTGACGGCGACTGCGACGGCGACGGCGACGGCGGCAGCGACTGGGGAACGGGACTACTGGTGAGACGATCGATCGGTCGTGAAAACGTTTGCAAAGTCAGCGCTCAACTGGTTCGCAGGCCGCCGCTCAAATTGGTTTTATACGCGGATCCCCAGCTGAGCGGAGCGGACCAGACCAGGCCAGAGATTCAGAGATTCATTGCATTCGCAATCGCAAAGAGCTAACCAAAAGAGCTCTGGTCCAAAAGAGCGGAGAGCCATTGAGGTAGGTTGAGCGCAGGCGCAGACTCCGTCTACGTCTCCGTCTCCATCCGCTGTTCCGCTGTTGTGTGCAGTGCTGCCAACCTGCCTGTGCCAGCGGCAGTGCTGCCTATTCGGTGGGGTTTTCTGTCGAACAAGTTTCGGCTATGGGATGTTCATTCAAAGTTTTTGGCCAGCCTTTAAGGTCTTCTTACTCATGGCGAGTTCATGGCTAATTGAAATGCGAATAGCGAATAGCGAATAGCGCTGAACTTGTTCTAACTTTGAATGCGTCAGAATTCAGTTACCAGTTCTGGAGAATCTGCTGCCCTAATACCCTTCCTAAAGGTAGGACTGTCCGCTGTAGACGTTTGCCCAAACAAATATTGTGGGAATACTCCTCTCAGAGCGCCCACTAAAAGATCTCTTGAGGTGTTTCTGAAGTGTATTCTGGGCCCCGACTATGCCACATCCGCCGTCCTTCCTTTCTCGTTTTCAATTAACATAATTAAAAGTAAAGGCGAGCAAAAGCCAACCACAAAATGTATTAAATAAAATTAGCATAAGAACAACTTTTAGTTTTATTTAATCCTCTTTTTTTTTTTTCTTCTTTTTTAGTTCATTGGCTGTAGGTTGCTTGGTATTTGCCGTATATTTTTGGGAAACTTTAGTGTGGCTTTAATTTCTTAACTCCCCGTCAAGTTCATCAAACACGTCTGATTAGGAGATGGCCCGGCCGGGCCCGAGACTGGTTGCGCCTCTGCCTTTGGGCTGGTGTCTGGGGGGTTGGGCCTGGTCTGGGTCTGGGCCTGGGCCTGGGCCTGGCCTGGCCTGGTCTCTGACCGGCTATGATCTGGTCATTTGAATGCCAAAGGCATCGCCCGTTTGCTCTTTTCACATTTGCCGTTGGCTCTAAAAAGCAAATTTATGATGAGCGCGAACAACGAATTTATTACCAGCTACGGATCGACACCAAACCATAACCAGCGAAACCGAAACAGCGGCCCGGCCAATGCGAAACTCTTTTTGGTGGCTTAAATGTCAAACTAATTTAAACAAGAGGAGCCATTAAAACTGGATTAATTAAAGGCGCAACGGCAGCGGCGACGGCAGCGACGGCAACGACTTTATGCATTGATGGATATCAAATGTTGTATCTCCAGTCGGTTCTCACTTTAGAGGCCACCGAATAGAGGCTCTCAATAGCGGAACTGAGAGATTGATTAATGGACCGACTGATGGTGTATATAGTAACTTATGTCCACCCCTAATGATGGCTTACGGGAGTGATAACCAAGAAGCCTCTTAATGGAAATGTTACGATCCACTCTACGAGTATGCCAACACACAATTAAGGTTTTTATGGGCTGTAAACCCGATGGATGGGTCAGAAGTCTTCTGATTGAAAGACTCACAGGTAGACCTAGAGGAATGCACTCACTGATTGATTGGTTGTGGTCAGATCTGGCCAGCAGCTAAGCCACTATTCAAATGATTGCCTAGATGAGTGATTATCTTTGTGGCGCCCCGACATTTGTCATTCGCTTGGCGTCAGCCTTCTCGCCTTCCTGGCCGTGCAATTAGCACACTTTGCTTTTATAATTACTTCAAATATTTTAATTAACAAGTGGCCGGCTATCGGGGCGTATGCGCAATGTCGCTTAACCGCTGCACAAGCCACAAGCCGCCAGTTCCCATACAGAAATCTCAACTGAACCAAAAAAGGAAAGGAAAGGTGTTGACCTTGTCAGCCGCCGGTCGGTCGGTCCAACACGCACCGCGTTCCAGACCTCGTCTGGGCCCCCACCAATACTCCATGGAGAGCCCTTCACAAGAACCGGGTGTCCGAGTGAAGAAGTGAAGAAGTGGAGAAGTGAAAAAGTGAAAGCTGCCTCCGGTTGCAAGAGTCATCCCTAAATCATTTCAAGTTCAAGGTTTTCTGGTCACTGGTATTTAAACATTTTTCATATCCCAATCGAATGTATATATATATATATCTTATGTATACTATATATTTATACTCGTATTTGTGCTAATTTCTTGACATTTACCGCTTTCGTTTTGGGGGCTTTTGTTGTTGCCACACTTGATCACTGGAATTATGTCCATAATTACGCTGATGTTAATCGATTTTTAAGTCGTTTTTCCCCCTCCAAAAAAGAGAAGAAAAAAAAAACAGTTTTTTTTTGGAGCGGATTATACAACAAATATTTAACACCTTGCAGACAATGGAAGTCGGTTTTATGATGGTGTTGGGATTTGGATTTGGATTACTTTGAATTGCTTTTCAAATCCACTCGGTAAATTAAATCGTGTAGATGCCCACCCCCTCCCCCCCTTCCCCACTTGTCCGACCAATGTTGAAAGTCAATAAAATATCAAGTTTTAATTTATGTGCTTGTGTGTGTGTGTGTGTGTGTGTGTGTGTGTGTGTGTGTGTGTGTGGCTTGTTGCCAAGCCAAAGCCCCAAATGTTTGCATTCAAAAATACTTGGACTCGCACTAACTGCAGGTTATTATTATCTAGAGCATGAAATTCGAATGACCGCCTGACTGGAGCTCGGCTCGGACTAGACAAGTGCTGGCCGGTGGCCAAGAGATTGTTACGATCATAATAACAGAATCTATCAGATCAAATCAGAGCCAAGGCGGCCTCTGATTGCACTGCCATCAGATTAAGGAGGGGATTAACTGGGATTGGTGCCTGCCATTCGGTGGGGCAGCCTACGGGGGCCATTACTTTCGTGAGTGCTTTATCAAGGTAATGGGTGATCGGGGATCGGGGATCGGGGATCGATGGTATAGGCTACCGCTTAGCGGATACACTCATTACGGTAACTTCCTTCCAGCCATTGCAGCCACTAGCGTGGGTAATTCCTGCCATTCCCTTCCTTTCTCCAAAACCGACACCCACATAATTCTGGCCAGCACTTGCCCAATCCGAGACGTTTCCTTAACCAATTTGTCGGCGGCAGAGTATTGCAATTTGCCTAAAAGACAACAACAACAACAACAGCACTCGTGCTGCAGCAGCGGCGGCGGCGGTGGCGGCGGACAATGAAGTCAATTACTCAATTCCCCCCCGTGCCCCAGAGAGGGGCTGCAGTAGTAGAGGGCGATGGCAAACAATTGCTGCTTAAAGCCGAAGCTGAATTGCAGCTACATCTGTGTCTGTCTCTCTCTGTTTGTCCGCCCTCTTGGCTACTGCGCGCCACTTAAATTCCGATTCACACACACACATGCACAAGGAAGCTCACGTGCAGGCAGGCTCCAGCGAGAGAGAGAGAGAAAGAGGGCGAGAGCGAGAGCGAGAGCGAGAGCGAGGCCCGACTGTCGTCAGCCGCTCGGTCGCGTTCGTTTCTTAAGTCGTTCGATTTTTGACTGGCACTAAACTGTTTCACTAAAGTGTTGATGTTTGTTGGTGCTTTGGCTGGTATACCCTTTACACAGGGTATAGGGCCTGGGACCAGGGGCTTGTGGGGCCGAGAAAGAGTTAGGCAAAGGACTTTTGACAGACAAAGGGAGAGCATATAAAGGTGATAGCGATAGATAGAAGAGATAGATTTCGCGCAAAGAGCTAGAGATATGAATCTGTTAGTCGTCTGCCTTCAACGATTTTACCCCATACACTCCACCTCAGAGAAACGATGCACCTTGAAGGGTATCTAAAGCCTCGGCTCTCCCTAAGCTGGCATTCCTTTCGGGTACTTGCTTTGGTTGTTGGGTTTTTCGTGGCTTTGGTGGCTTTGGTGGCTTTTTGTGGCGTTGCTTGTTTGTTGTCGTTTGGCGCTTGTCGATTTTTAAGCCAAGTTTGTTTTGGGTCTTGTATTTTTGTCGGTAGTTTTTTGTTTTTTTGCTTTTGGTTTCATTGAGTGTTGGTTTTGTTTTTCCTCTGCCATGTACGAGTACTAGTAGTTGGGTCAGGTTGCAGATTCGAAAGTGGGTCAATTTATTACTGCAATGAATTGGTAACGCTCTGC